ACCAATTTAAGTTTTGGTTTGATCTGGCCTTGGATCGAACCTACAACCTCCCGCACTCAAGGTGCACACGATACCAAGAGACCACCGAGGCAGTTGGAAAAAAAATGGAGAAATATATATATATATATTGAGATAGGACAAGATATTTGATTGTCGTTTGCTGAACATCCAGTGGCAAATATTTCAATTGTTTGTACTTTGTATCTTATTGTTCTTTTTTTTTTTATCTTAAGGTGGTACCTAACACTACAGGGAGATAACTGTAAAAATCAGCTAGACGTTTTAATTACGATGTATTGTTTAGGAAATATTAAGCTTCTCAAAGATCAAAATAAGTGTTTGTCAAACTGCTACATACCCAATGAAATTTTTCTGATAAAGTGGTTGGTTGAAATTTTTTGAAATTTTTATATTTTTGTCAAAGGGTCAAAGTAAACATTTTGTCAAAATTTTATGAAAATTAAACGAGCCAAATTAATATTAGTCAAGGTGTTTGGTACCACCTTAAATAATGTCTGATACCATATTGTACTAAAGTCCTTGTGACCCCATTTAGTAAGTGGAAGATATCTTGTTTCCTGTTTCGTGCCGAGTAAACAAGAAGGGAAGCTGATACCAAGAACCCCCCACTTCGACACATCCTCAATACTTTTAGTCCCGAATGCTGATTTAAACAAAGGTTTTTAATACATGACAAAGCGATCAACTTGTCATGTTACTTACTCTAGTATTATGTTGGTCTGTAAAAATAACATCTTTTATCTAATCCACATATTTTTACAATGAGTACAATAGTAACACTATATGGTGTATTGACCCATTCGTGACCTGAAGTACTTGCTTAGGAATTAATATTCTCAATTTACATTCATCAAGTGGAATTTGGAATACTGTCAACCATTTTAATTTCTCATTTAAAACTGTGAGAATCCTTTAAATAAATAACAGATGGTATATTTTTGTTGTGATTTCGAATTTGTTTTTATTAGCCTAGCAAGGCGTCGGGAGAGTCATAGTTGTTATCTTCAAATTTGCGAATTAAAATTTTATCGAATAGGTGCTACCCAGGCGCTGGGGCGATTAATCTAAAGGAAAATTGATTTTCTGGAGTTTGAACGTCCCCGTTCATGTCTCCATGCGTTCCATCTGACAGTAAAAAAAAAGTTCCCCTGCTATCAGTGCTCTCCCTGTACTGATTTTTATCATAAAAAGGAAAATAATAAATGTTGTATGATTGCCGATGCGACAACTGTCCGCAAGAGACCAAAGGACGAGGATGAGGGTGTGGATGGGGATTTATAGAATAGAAAATAATGGGCAAAAAAAAAATAAAGAATAGAGGAAAATGGACCCCAAAAAAAAGAATAGAGAATAACGGGATACTTAAATATAAAGAGTAGAGAAAATGGACCAAAAATATAAAGAATAGAGAATAATGACTTCAAAAATTTGTAAGGGGTTCCGCGGAACTCTGCGTCTCGCCTACGATTGCTGCTGTCAGTGTAAAAGTGTAATGTTGACTTAAAAAGTGAGTCAATTTATCAGTAAAATACAGAATTTTAAAAAGATTCAAACTTTCTCTTTAGATGCTATTTCTTGGTCTTGAGGATAAGCTTCTGTCCAAGTTTCATAACAATCCATGAAGATTAACAAACTTATCACGTAAAAAATTTTTAATCCCAGACTGTCAGTAAATTTTAACTGTAGAAAAAGCCCATCTATCAGAAAAATACTGAAATTGAAAATATATTTTCAAAAGTGTGCTTCAGACATTATCCCTTAATCATAAAAAAGTTACATAAAATTCTATGAAGGTTTGACAAAGTATTTGATGTGTAACAAACTTTAACCCCAGACTGTATCTATTTGTTAAATGTTAAAAAAAACTAAGTCCATTTATCAGTAAAAATACGGAAAAATGAAAACAATTATTCATTTAAAATTTTGATCTGGATACTGTATTTTGGTCATAAACAAGCTTCTGTCCAAATTTCATCTAATTGCATGTAGGTTTGTCAAAAATATTGATGTTCAAAAAAACTTTAACCACACACCGAACCTAACTGTTGACGCCGCCGACGCCGGAATCTAGGACCGCAGGCTCGACAAAAATTGAAGAATACAGAAATGAAGGACCCCCTTTCCAGACCCTCATAATGTAAGAAACTGTACGCTTTCAACAATCGAGAAAACCCATTCCGTATAGTAAGCTAGAAAAAAGGCGCGGGATGAAAGTAAAAAAAGCTGTGAATAAATTGATAGATCTATCCAAATAAACATTCTCCAATTAACTAAAACATAAGGATATGATGTGATATATAGGGCTATAGTAGTTGTTTTATAGATCTAAACCATAGCTCATTTGATAATATAGATTCCACCACTACATCAAGTGTGTTATGATATTTCTCAACTTGAGACAGTTAAATTTTAATATTTAAAGCGCGAGGCCTGCCGAGCTTTTTAAATAATTAAAATTCAACTGTTGAGAGTGGAGAAATATCGTAATACACGAGTTATAGTGGTGGAATCTGTTTTTCTAATGATTTTATAAGACGATATCTAAACAAAGTTTTTCCTTTTCAAAGATTTGCAGAAAGTTGTGTTCTTTATATGTAATGTCATCAGGCATGGTCGTCTTTTTTCATGACGTCACAATAGGAAATTCAATATAAACCAAGAAAATTTGACGTCATAATTAAATTTCGACCAATCATTTGCCGAGAACAAAGTTTTCTCTAGAGATGAGAAATATTTTTCTCACACCGATCGGGAAATGTGAAAAATCATGTAAATGAGAGAACGACCAATAGACTATCAGAAGGTACATAAAAGAACATGCATGTGGATATTATAAAGGTCTACATATTGTATACATTGTTGGAAACTGTTTCATGTGTAAGTTGGCCTCTAAATGTCTTTTGATGGTTTCTGTAGTTCGGTCGCTGTCTCATTGACCTATAATCCTCATGATCCGTTTTATTCAAATGTTCATGCTTCTCAAATCCCAATGAGTTTTTTCATGGCAAAATTAAAAAGTTTATATATTTAACATGTTTATTGAGTGCGGTCAGTGATGCATAGTGCAAGTCATACTCCGTTGTACTTTTTAGTTGAAATCTGCAATCATGCAGACCACAGACACAATCGCCTTTGTATGCACGTCACCTTAAACGCAAATTCTCCGAATATTTTAAAATTTAAGTTCAATATTAAGAGTAACTTCCATGAAATACAATATTATAAATTCAAAACAACTCTGTGAAAGACATAATCACAAAAAAAAAAGATATTCAAATGCGAGATATTTCAAAAGGAAAATACATCACATATGAAAAATGGGAATTAAATCTATGATTTAGATAGTTACTATAATCTATGCAGCGATAATCGAACACTATTTGGACTGTCATGCAACAGTCCGACGAAGCTAAGCTCTTATATTTATTAAAGATCAATGGTTTGTCCTGTTAGATGTGTATTTACAAAAGGATGAATAGAAGTTCTTTGAACCCGATAAGATTAAATTATGTTAGCCTATGAAAGGGGTCACTGAAATACAAAACAAAATCAAATTCATATGTCAAATTAAGACAAGTATTAGGAGGGCCTTGATGGGAACTCCGTATGGGTCTTATGAAACACGCAAAGAAGACGAAAGTACAAAAAAAAACTCCTTGAGCGGGGAAGAATAGATACCCTCTAAACTAGAACAAAAAAAAAAAAAAACCGTTATCCCCAGCTCCACTGCAAGAGAAAGGTTCATTTAACATTTCAGTAAACTTCCCCCTGATCAAAGCATGGTCAAACTGGTCAACTTAATCCAGTAATAACTGGATATCTTTAATAACCTACCTGTTTATGTGACTCAGTAAGTTTTGACAATGTTTACCTTTGATATATAATGTTAGGTATTATTATGTTTGTTTAAATTTTATGTGTAAACAGTCATTTATCCCCATAAATTTAAATGTCCTGGGGAAAGTTTTAAGGTGTGTAAGTCTTGTTCTGTAAGCTTTCCGGATTGACAAATGAGACCTAGATCTTTGACAATTTGTTAAAGTAAATTGTGCACATCATAAATGTTCTATTTTAAGTTCTCTATAATCATTAAACTTGAATGTAATGAAATGGAACGTCAAGAGAAACCAAAATTGAAGAGAGATAAACATTTCGTTTTAACTTTCATGGCAGTATTGCGTTTAGACAACCAACTTGCCATGAAACTGGATCTGGCAACCAACTTGCATCAGATACTGGAATATGTGTCATTAAAGTTTTTCGTTCCCCTTTTGTCTTGACTGACTTCTTGACTACTTTCAAAGTTCTATTTTTTTCGAACTTTTTATTCACCATTTTTATAATTATTGAAACAGCAGAGACATATATAGTTTTGTATAGGTATAACAGTAATAAATAATTCTTTAAATTATTAAATTACTAACTGGTGGTGCGAAATAATTTATGATCTTGACCACGTGTTTGTGTAAATCTTAACTTAATACACCAACTGATTTTACTACCGATAAAAAGTACAATAAATTTCATTCATATTAAATCTGGGAGTGGCCTCACCTTTAAATTTCACACACATAAACTATAGTTTAACAACTTTCTTGGGGTCAAATGGCACAAAGACAGGCTAAATTAAATTTGAAATGGTTCCTCATCAGGCTATCGGACAGTAAACTAATTAGGCTTATCTCCTATTGTAATTGTTTACATTTTTACTTATTCATGTATTTACCTGGCGAACAGGTGAAAATTACAGGTAGCAGATTTCAACTTTACAATTTAACACAATAAAACTATTAGAAATAGTAAAAGCTACATGTAATATGAATAAAAACACAAATTCTAAAATGAATCTGCTTCCGTATAAGTAAAATAAGTATTCATAATGTACTGGGACACCTTGCATATTTGTGGTCACAGGTATGATTGGAATTTACGTTTTAATTATTGATTAAAATTAATTAAAGTTCAAGACAAAATCTTACCTTAAATTTTAGCAAAAATGCCAGTTTTTTTTTCAATCCAAAAGAAAATCCTAATTCTTGATAACAATATGCGCAAAAATACTAGTCTTCTGGCGACAGTGTGACCGATAAAGCCGGTCAGAGTGATTTACCTTACTTTCTTACCGTTAGAGGGCGCGCATAACTTCCTGATTATAAACCATGGGCTTTCTCAAAGTACACATTGGAAATTTTCTTTCCAGTCCATGTGAACTTTCATTTTCACAATAAAAACACACCAAGTATAATTGCAAATTTATACAGATATTAATTTATTCAATAAACTTATGTACTTGGGTGTAGATTCAGAAATTTTATAAAAAAAACAGGAGGGGGGTGTCCACTTGCAAATCAAAGTGTTTGTGTGAGCACTAAGTGGGTAATGATTGCTTTCAGTTACATGTATTGTGATAACTGAACCTACCATTAAACATTGCATTAAGCAAAGAAGCAAATGTCAGCAATATTCTGAGTTATGACCCCTGAAATTTACATATTTTTATAAAGTTAATTGCATGCATAGAATCTGGCATTTGATTATAAAAAATATGTACAACTTCTGGTGTGTTCCTTACATGTAGGGCCATTGTATGAAAAAACATGGGCGGGTGGATTGGTGTAGGAACAACCAGCGGAAATATAACATTCATATTGAGATGAAAACATTTAATGTGAAATTAATATGAATCCTGCTTTGTACTGGAAAGCAATGCTCAGCCAGATTTTTAATGTCACTAGGTATCAGTTTGCAGGAAGACATGTCACCCTACCCAGACACCATATTCTGACTCTTAGCAGATAAGTCCTTGCCTTCACTCCAAGATGCAGTGTGCTTAGAAGAAAGCAGTTAATACAGATTTTCAATTCTGGGGATTGAACCCAAGACCTCTCCCCATGAGGCCAGCCAACTAACACAAGACCACCAAGGCAGTCTTGGGGGCCTCGGTGACTGTGAGGTCTAAATAGTCCAACAACTGTATTCCTAGCTTGTCAACACTAAGGTTGTGAGTTCGAACCCCACATGATGGCAGGTGTTTTTCAAACTATCTTTTATAATAGATATAATTATTTTATATTTCAGTATCACACTTTAACAAGAGTGCACACGCTGAAATGTCTCGCCTTCTTTACTAATCATTGATATTATGTTGAAAGTCCTAAATATAAAGCTTTATTACAACTGCCACATAAACTTAACATTAACCAAGTAAACTAAACATTGATCAATGAACCATGAAAATGAGGTCAAGGTCAGATAAACCATGCAAGGCAGGCATGTACAGCTAACAAATCTTCCATACAACAAATATAGTTGACCTATTGCTTATAGTTTAAGAAAAACAGACCAAAACACAAAAACTTAACACTGAGCAATGAACCTTGAAAATGAAGTCAAGGTCAAATAAAACCTGCGTGACTGACATATAGATCATAAAATATTTCCATACACCAAATATAGTTGAACTATTGCATATATAGTATTAGAAAAAAAGACCAAAACTCAAAAACTTAACTTTGACCACTGAACCATGAAAATGAGGTCAAGGTCAGATGACACCTGCCAGCTAGACATGTACACCTTACAATCATTCCATACACCAAATATAGTAGACCTATTGCATACAGTATAAGAAAAACAGACCAAAACACAAAAACTTAACTATAACCACTGAACCATGAAAATGAGGTCAAGGTCAGATGACACCTGCCAGTTGGACATGTACACCTTACAATCATTCCATACACCAAATATAGTAGACCTATTGCATACAGTATAAGAAAAACAGACCAATACACAAAAACTTAACTATAACCACTGAACCATGAAAATGAGGTCAAGGTCAGATGACACCTGCCAGTTGGACATGTACACCTTACAGTCCTTCCATACAACGAATATACTAGACCTATTGCTTATAGTATCTGAGATATGGACTTGACCACCAAAACTTAACCTTGTTCACTGATCCATGAAATGAGGTCGAGGTCAAGTGAAAACTGTCTGACGGGCATGAGGACCTTGCAAGGTACGCACATACCAAATATAGTTATCCTATTACTTATAATAAGAGAGAATTTAACATTACAAAAAATCTTAACTTTTATTTCAAGTAGTCACTGAACCATGAAAATGAGGTCAAGGACATTGGACATGTGACTGACGGAAACTTCGTAACATGAGGCATCCATATACAAAGTATGAAGCATCCAGATCTTCTACCTTCTAAAATATAAAGCTTTTAAAAAGTTAGCTAATGCTGCCGCCGCCGGATCACTATCCCTATGTCGAGCTTTCTGCGACAAAAGTCGCAGGCTCGACAAAAATCCAAGAAGGTTTAACAAGGGGAGATAACTTTTGAACACATGTCCAATTCAGGGGCAGATAATTAAAAAGGATATTCTTGCAAATCCTTCAGTTTTTTATTTCCTAGAATAAATCGGTTTTAATAAAATATCCTCTAACATAATATCATTTTCTATCAATGCATTTTTGTTTTATTCATCTTATATGATTATTTTCCCTACATAATCCTTAACAAAATACTGAAAATTAGAACTCCAGGCAATAATCTTTTTGGTCAAGCTTCATCGAGTGGTTTACAGACAAGTTTCAGAAACACTATGGCTGACTTCAATTTAGTGTTATAACTTTCATGTGCCCTCTCAGCTGATGAGAACACAGCTAAACTCATAAGTTTATTCATAAACAACTTATTGTACCAAGGGTAATGGTTCTGAAAAAGGTTTTAAAAGTACAAACAGTCAAGCAGCAAATACCAATTTTAATGTCTAGTTTGAGCTAGCAAAAGTATAAATCAACAAAGGTATTTCATATTAAGAGAAACTATTATCGCTAGAATCATTCGATAAAGATTTCAGGAAACCAATCTTCATTTTTTCTTATACCACAACAACAAAAAATCATAATTTAATCTACTGAAAATAAACTCTTCTGTAATTCATTAAGGTACACATAATTTTATTTCATAAAACAGTTTTGTGTGTAATACATCTCAGATTACCAGCATTGTCAACAACAAGATTACATAATTGATGATGTTACAATATAGTTTGCGAGTTGTATCTATCAGCTGGTTTGTCTATTTGTATAACTGTAAGATGAAAAATAACCAAACAATGAAAAGTTACAAATTGTGCCTATAATACAGATTATGTCACCAATCAAAGAGTTGTTCAAGAAAAAGTGAAATATATTATAATGCATTCTGGCAAAATCGTTTGGCTCTGAAAAATGAATTTTTAACTAGAAATCTCAACCCTGAAACTTCAGAATTCGTAACAAATACCCTTTGCTATTGATCTGATAACATAATTCATGTACATGTACAGTATCAGAATACAACTAATCATTCTGAACATCTATAGTTTTATTGCACATCACTTTTTTAACCCTATGTGGTGCTCTGTGTTACTGCTGTTGTACACCTTGGACATAATTCTGTGGAAGTCTGACCATTAATTCTACAGCTTCATTGTATGCTGCCATATCTACAGAACATTGAAATAAAATAATTTTAATTCATATATGGAATTTCTGGCCCTGTTTAAGTTTATATGTAAAAATGATTACTAAAACCTTAACTGGGTTGCTCAGACATCAATACAAAGTTAAATTTTGATTAAATAATTAAATTAAGAAATGCAACAGATTTAATTAACATTTTAATTTAAACATCAGTTACTTCAATTGAGGTTTGTGCAATCCAGTCCAATTAATCATGAAATGACTATGAATGATACTCCAAATAATTGTATTTACAAAGGTTAAGGGCCAATAGATGGATATATCTAAGTCAAAGATTTTTTTTTATAAAAAAAGGAAAATAAAAGGTGGCACTCATATTATATTAAATATCAATAAATAATTATCATTTACATTAGTATCAACTTTTCCAAACCCTCAAACATATCAAAGTGAGAAATCTCTCTTTTTGGATTTATTTTAGAGGAAGAGATGTCCAAGAACCTTTTTCCTTTGTTTTCATAATATCTTATCCTTCTTCTTTGGCAATAACTTTTTTATTTTTTTGCCATTCTTTCACCCTTAGTTATACTGAAAAAGCCCCAACAAATGCTTAAAAGAAATCTTGAAATATATGTATCATCAGTTTATTCTCACATAAGTTTTCATTTGCATATTTTGTTTTTAAGTAAAAGAAAACAGTGAAATATCCCTTGGGCCAAGTCTTGTGTATTTCTTGTGAACACTATCTGTCAGAAGACATTAATGAACCATGACCTATAGTTGTTGATTTCTACGTCATTTGGTCTCTGGTGGAGAGTTGTCTCATTGGCAATCATACCACATCTTATTTTTATATTGTATGACTTACCAAAATTATCAGAGGTTTCCTGTGGGAAGACAATATAGTTCTGACAGAGTATGTTGTTTTGTCCATCCACCTGACCATGTACTTCAGTCAAACCAGCTACATAGTCATTTACCTAAAATATAACAAAAATATCATTAATAAAATATTAAACTGCATTAGTGATCTTGTGGTACAAATGTAGCATGCTTGCCTCAAATGCAGGATGTTGGGCTAAATTTCTTACTAAGTGGAATAAACCATCCATTTCGCATATTTAAAATCTGCATATGGCTTTCAGTCATTTTAAAGGAATTCAGACTGATAACCTAAAAGTTGAAATAACATAACCAGAAAAGGATCACTTACATGACTTACACAAGGAAAAGTTTAAATTACAATTCTAGTAATATATACTGCTGTGTAATTCAGAAGTGGAATTACAATAATGCTTTGCACTTCTTGAAGCATTTCTTTATTTTTTTTTTTTTTATGAATTTATACTCACAGGTTCTTGCAAAACAACACGTACATCCTGGTTATCACTTGTTGTCAGTGTAAAGGAATTGCCATCATTAGCTACCTGCAACATAAAATAATTATAAACGTTAACATTATATATATCTAAAAGTTTGTTAACAGAAAAAGCATATAAACTAAGTTTTGATTTAGTAACAAAATGACATTTACAAGCTACGGTAGTACATGTAGATCCTTTTCTTTCTCACATGTTTTATTGAAAGAAGTAGAAATCTGGCTCAATCAATCATATAATAAACTTTGACTTCCTCTTGCATTGTTTCTGCTACATTGTTCACTAGACATTGAAATTTGAAATTCTATAAAACTGCTTTTAAATAAAATGGCATTGTGAGCTTCTACTTGACTCCATGACAACATTCCTAGAGTTCACAGGTCAAGCACATTTTGTTAATTTTATCTTCTACTTCTATGGACTGCTATTATGATCATGGCTATGCTTAAATCCATCAATTTGTAAATAAACAGTGGAAGTTCAGAACAGTCTTTTTTTTTGTTCATGACTAACCGTCAAATTATGTTTTATGTTAAAATTATGTTTACAACTGGGCATTGGGTTGTTTGACACATTCCCTGTTTCCATTCTCAATTTTATTACTTAAGTTAGATGAAAACCTTGTATTTGACCTTGTGGCCAAACAACGTCAAAGTATAACTGTGAACATCTCCTTTAATGACAAAGATATTTTTTCTGAGAATTAACAAAAAAAAAATGTAACACATCAACAAACGACAACCACTGAATACAGGCTCCTGACTTGGGACAGGCACATACATACAGAATGTGGCAGGGTTAAACATGTTAGCGGGATCCCAATCCTCTCAATAACCACGGACAGTGGTGTAACATGACTATATTTATATACTGCATGTACTGGTTGTTTCTTTTGTATAAAGAAATAGCTCAAGACTACCTGAATAATCTACAATATTTAGAGTTATATGTGAAATTTTTTTCTTGCAATTTCATTATTCTTAGTCAAGGATACCTTAACAGACTATCCCCTTCTTTGTAGAATTATTTAACAAAATGATGATGAAGAGCCTGCAGTAAGCAAAGCTCTGATACCCCACATATTCCTTATTTAAGAGATAAGTTATAAGAGACTTAGTGACATTGTTATTTCTGTTACTTAAAGGCTGATCAAATTCTGTAGATTTAGACAATAGTATTGTTATACTAGTTTAATTACAAATATAGTGACACCATTTATACACCCAAATTTCAAGCGACTGGAAGCAATAAAATGAAATCTGGTCAATAGTATTGTAAAATTGACGCTTCAACAGCGTCATTTTACAAAAAACTTAAAAGAATCCAAATAAATTTTAATTGCATAAAATTTGTTTAGAATGAATGCATATTTTTTACCGGAAATTTGACAAATGGGTCAATTTCTACATGTACATCTGAAATTTTTTTGTCACTTTTATTGTAAAAAAAAAGGTGTATGGAAACTTGAAATCATCTGCCAGGAGAGGTCTAGAATGGAAGATTTGGCCTCATTTACCCCCAGAGGCTGAGGCAGAGCTTCTATGACTATGGGCCTTAAGCGTCCCCCAAACCCCCTGCCGTAAGTGCGACGAGCTTTCCCCCAGTAAAATAGACCCGAAAATATATATTGTTTTTACTTTGAAAGCCTTAAAGCCTTTCTAAAAGAGGGTGTTTTAAGATAGGGACATGCGACTGTTCAGATGTCATATCGGATTGAGGCTAACTATAATTACTAACGTGAATATTTCCTTACATTTTTAACTTTTCCTAAAAGACAAACATTTCTGCCTCTGTGAGAAGGTAATTTTGAGGCATTTACACGTGGTTTTGAGAATTCCATGATTGTATGATGACTTCAACAACTATTTTCTTTGCAATCACCCGCGCAATTATACGCTGGTAACCTTTACTCTGAAACTTTCATGTTGTAGGAGGCGAAATAAACCGTAAAAATAAAGGAACCAGAACAAAAATGTCTTTGTAGCAGGAGTGTTTTGAAATAGTCTGTGTATTTTCGATCCATAACAAGATCGCCCCGTAGCAAACGCATAGATACTCGGACTAAAGAAATAGAAATAGAAATTCTTTATTTGATCAATTATGGACCCTTGCGGGTTTTAAATTTCATACTATGATTACAATGATTTTTTTTTATGACAATGAAAAAGTAAAATACAACATAATAGGACAATGAATAGTTAGTGCATGCACATGGAAGTAATAGTTACTAGGGGAGACAATCAATTAATATGTAAGGACTTAGTCCAAATAATTATGACATCTAGAAAGTCTATTTTATTTTTTGCTTTGACGCCTTCCTGCGTATAGACTGTCCCTGTTTAGTTTAAGATATTTCAGATCTTTGCTGAAGATGATGATGATGATGAGTGATGGTGAAAATGACAATAACACCCTGAAAGCGCTTTTCTGGATTTACCTTCAACAAGATCACTCAAATCCAAAATCATGAAAGCCATGTATCTCTCTAGTTTTCTGTTCCAGATCATTATATACAGTATAGCATGGATGATTGCTCTTGTCTCCTACAATCCTGAATATCTTAGCATCATCAGCAAATTATTATTATTATTTACAGTAAAATAAAATTGAGAATGGAAATGGGGAATGTGTCAAAGAGACAACAACCCGACCATAGAACAGACAACAGCAGAAGGTCACCAACAGGTCTTCAATGCAGCGAGAAATTCCCGCACCCGGAGGCGTCCTTCCGCTGGCCCCTAAACAAATATATATACTAGTTCAGTGATAATGAACGCCATACTAAACTCCAAATTGTACACAAGAAACTAAAATTAAAAATAATACAAGACTAACAAAGGCTAGAGGCTCCTGACTTGGGACAGGCGCAAAAATGCGGCGGGGTTAAACATGTTTATGAGATCTCAACCCTCCCCCTATACCTCTAGCCAATGTAGAAAAGTAAACGCATAACAATACGCACATTAAAATTCAGTTCAAGAGAAGTCCGAGTCTGATGTCAGAAGATGTAACCAAAGAAAATAAACAAAATGACAATGATACATAAATAACAACAGACTACTAGCAGTTAACTGACATGCCAGCTCCAGATTTCAATTAAACTGATTGAAAGATTATGTCTTCATCATATGAATATCAGGCACAATCCTTCCCGTTAGGGGTTTAGTATCATACCATCATAACATATATGAGAAGAACATAACCCGTGTCATGCCAACAACTGGTTTTTAAATAAATGTGTTTAGTTCCGATGCAAAGACCTTATAAGTGAATCAATATTTACGCCAAAATATGCAATCTTTAATGACCTGACAACAGTATCGTAACTATATCCCTTCTTAATAAGTCTATTTAAAGGTTTTGTTAGCATCAGAGGTGAATACTGACATTTTTGTGCTTTATAAAGAATATTTCCATAAAAAATTGGATGTGAAATACCTGAACGTATAAGAAGTCTGCATGTTGAGCTATATTTACGAATGATGTCCTTATACCGATGATAAAATTTAGTAAATGTTTTGACTAGTTTGTGATATCGAAAACCCTGGTGTAATAATTTTTCAGTAATACATAAATTTCTCTCGTTAAAATCTAAAACATTGTTACATACACGAGCGAATCGAACAAGTTGAGATATATAAACACCGTAAGATGGTGACAAGGGAACGTCACCATCTAAAAATGGATAATTTACAATATATAAGTGTTTATATAGCGCATATCTAAATACACATTTACTCTAAGCGCTTTACAATGCATAAAAAAAACCAACGATACAAGTACATTATATATATATATATACAAACAAAATTAAAAAAGAAAATCTATGTGTCAATGTTGCAATAGAATCAAAATAGAAACCGTAAAAAATACAACTCAATATAGGAAAATTAAAAAATTATTCATCAAAAATAATTTATAAATATAAATAAATTTTGAAAAAAAATATTAAAAGAACATCAACACTGAGAAGAGCTTCAATTTAGAAATTGGACTAATAGCTTTATGTCTAAAAATAAAAAGAGTAAAGGAAATAAAAATGCAATAAAAAATAAGTAAGTATGAGAAATGTCTAAAAATAAAAAGTGTAAAGGAAATAAAAAGTAAGTATGATACATTAAAATATATACTGAGATATAATACAAGTCTAATACCGTCCGATTATTAATTATGTGGAAAAGCCTGTCTGAATAAATAAGTTTTAATGTTTTTCTTGAAAGCATTCACAGATTCCATGTTTCGCAGTTCTTTCGGCAATTAAGTCATTCCATAAAACGGCGGCCGCTCTATCAAACCGTCTCTCTCCGTATGTTTTTGTTCTAACTGTTGGTTTGACTAGAAGCATGTTGTTTTCTGACCGAAGAATTCTTGTTGGCTTGTAGATGTTAACTAGTTCTTGAAGGTACACAAATAAGTAAGCATCTGATTTAACACAATCTGGTAGGTCATTAATGTAAAGAAAATACCGGGGCCTAATACTGAGTCTTGAGGTATTCTTGAAGTAACCCCCTTCCAGTCTGATGTTTCACTATTTAATTATACTCTTTGCTGTCTTAATGTTAGAAAAACTCTAACCCAATCAAGTATTGGATTAACTCTGTATGCCATAGTTTTCAATTTTCTTTAAAAGTCTCAGATGCGGTACTTTATCATCGGTTTCCGTGAAGTGTGCCCTTGAATTTTTACTAGATAACATTTTTGTTCGCTTTGGAGATTTCGTATATCGTCAGGTTATCGGAATTCCAATGGGGACTAACTGTGCACCACTTATTGCGGACCTTTTTTTTTGTATTGCTATGAGTTACAATTTATGACAAAAATCAGCAAAGACCCATCGAAACAACATCTGATACACAAATTTAATAATACTTTTAGATATTTGGATGATATTTTGGCTCTCAATAATGACGACTTCAGTATGTATACTAAAGAAATTTATCCTGTTGAACTTACTTTGAAGAAAGCTAATACTAACAATGACCACTGTCCTTTCCTCGATCTTGATATCTATATCATTAATGGAAAGCTTAATACTAAAATATATGATAAAAGAGATGATTTTTCATTTCCTATCGTTAATTATCCATTTTTAGATGGTGACGTTCCCTTGTCACCATCTTACGGTGTTTATATATCTCAACTTGTACGATTCGCTCGTGTATGTAACAATGTTTTAGATTTTAACGAGAGAAATTTATGTGTTACTGAAAAATTATTACACCAGGGTTTTCGATATCACAAACTAGTCAAAACATTTACTAAATTTTATCATCGGTATAAGGACATCATTCGTAAATATAGCTCAACATGCAGACTTCTTATACGTTCAGGTATTTCACATCCAATTTTTTATGGAAATATTCTTTATAAAGCACAAAAATGTCAGTATTCACCTCTGATGCTAACAAAACCTTTAAATAGACTTATTAAGAAGGGATATAGTTACGATACTGTTGTCAGGTCATTAAAGATTGCATATTTTGGCGTTAATATTGATTCACTTATAGGGTCTTTGCATCGGAACTAAACACATTTATTTAAAAACCAGTTGCTGGCATGACACGGGTTATGTTCTTCTCATATATGTTATGATGGTATGATACTAAACCCCTAACGGGAAGGATTGTGCCTGATATTCATATGATGAAGACATAATCTTTCAATCAGTTTAATTGAAGTCTGGAGCTGGCATGTCAGTTAACTGCTAGTAGTCTGTTGTTATTTATGTATTATTGTCATTTTGTTTATTTTCTTTGGTTACATCTTCTGACATCAGACTCGGACTTCTCTTGAACTGAATTTTAATGTGCGTATTGTTATGCGTTTACTTTTCTACATTGGCTAGAGGTATAGGGGAGGGTTGAGATCTCATAAACATGTTTAACCCCGCCGCATTTTTGCGCCTGTCCCAAGTCAGGAGCCTCTACCCTTTGTAAGTCTTGTATTATTTTTAATTTTAGTTTCTTGTGTACAATTTGGAGTTTAGTATGGCGTTCATTATCAATGAACTAGTATATATATTTGTTTAGGGGCCAGCTGAAGGACGCCTCCGGGTGCGGGAATTTCTCGCTGCATTGAAGACCTGTTGGTGACCTTCTGCTGTTGTCTGTTCTATGGTCAGGTTGTTGTCTCTTTGACACATTCCCCATTTCCATTCTCAATTTTATATTTTATTTTATACATGCAATCTATCTTGTGTCTTTCATCTAAGGGAGCTACCATTTGATATTTATGGGGGGACTAGGATGAAAAATTTTGTCCTGCATTTTATTTTATTTGTAATCTCTGTCCTGCCTTTTTATTTTTCACTCTATTCGGTCCTGCCTTTTTTTTTTTTTTAGTTTATCTTGACTTTTTTTTTACATATTTTTTTTGCAAGGTGTCTCATCCTGCCTTTTTTTTTACTCAAAACTCCTGCCCTGCCTATTTTTTTTTTCAAATTTCATCCTAGCACCCCCCCCCCCCCATAAAAATCAAATGGTTCCTCCCTAGGCTTCTGTCCTTTTATCAATTACTTCCAATAGTTGTAGAGTAGTCGATCTACCCGAAATAAAATAATATTGTTTTTTTGGAGAATAGTTTGTTGAGCTTCTGTGTTCAATTATATGTTCTATTATGATTTTTTCCAATATTTTACAAACAACTGAAATAAGACTTACAGGCCTGTAAATTTTTGTCTGTGATTTATTTCCCTTTTTTAATATAGGAGTAACTAGAGCAATTTTCCATTCTTTGAGTACTGTTTGTGTGAATAATGATTGACTGAAAATTAAGCTCAAGAGTTCAGTAATACCTTCCTTTACCATGTTTACCTCATGTAACAATCTTGATGTGAATCATCCGGGCCTGTGGATTTATCCATCTTTAATTTTTGTAGATGTTTCCGTACAATGTCGTTGCTTATGTTTAATTCATCTAATCAAGTTATTCTGAATAGAAATTGGTTATGGTTCATATGGAATTATTTTTTAAATCATTTGGGAAAACACTGTTAAAATATTAGTTCGGTTTTTAGACTTTACATATTCTAGATCAAATCAACAATACCTTTTCTCGTTTTTTATTTGGATTTTATACAGCTCTATATGGCTTCGGGACTTTCTTTGCATTTTCGGATAACCCTTTTTCAATATTTTTCTTTGCCTTATTTACTGATGATTTTGCTATGTTTCTTACACTATTGTATTATGTTCTATAATCTCTGTTCCTTAGTTAATTATACAATCTTTTTGGAAAGTAGATTTTTCCTTCTAATCACATCTCTTTTTCTATCTATTGGGAATGAGTATTTTTCCTTTTCCCAGTTCGGATCACATTTTTTGTTAATAAGAATCAGTGTTCAAAATCTTTTAGAATGGTTAACATCACAGCCGAGTGTGGCAAGTTAAAGTTTTTGTTTTGTTTTTGTTTTTGTTTTTGTGTGTATGGTTGTTGTCTGTATTGGTTTTTATTATTAAAAAGGGGGAGGTAAACCAATACAGAATTTTAAAGTTAAAAAACGTTAATACGAACTCTTTCACCTTATTTCTATAAATAGATAATGGAGGTCACAGTTTGTTAAAATAATAATCCGAGATTGTTTTGGTCTGAGCTTTTTATGGGCCGAGATAAGCTTTTGTTTGTCGATTTCAAACATTTCTTTGACATTGAGGAAAACTAAAAACGAAATCAATAACGGATTAAAACAACCCAAAAAAATTCTAAAACTTTGGTTCCTTTACCAAGTGTTAACTGAGTATGATGGTAATGACAACACATTAATCAGATGGGTATTAAACTTTAGAACCCATCGAATAAATATGACAGTGTGCAGGAGTCGGAAATTTAGTTAATAATAATAGTCCATTTTTTTTTTAGTAAACATCCCTACCATTTGCCCGGTACCGGCGGTAGGTCTTTTTACCACCGAACACCACCGCACACCGCCGAACACCACTGAACAACTAATATCGTTCATCAGTAATAGATGTGAAATGATTCTTATATACACACAATGTAATCCGGAAAAATAGTGATGAATCCGGAGACGTTTTTCTTTATATTGATTATATTGATAATCGACTTTAGAAGAAAAATAATGCATTTAAACATCTAAAAAATTGTTAAATTAGACGTAATTTAATTGATTTTACTGTTTTATTCTATAAAATCACTGATTTTCTTAGTGGTTGGTGGTTTTTTTGGGTGTTCGGCAGTGTTCGGTGGTGTGCAGTGGTATTCGGTGGTGAAAAGACCCACCCCCATTTGCCTACCGCCGTAACGGATGGGATGGACAGCGTATCCCTGATTCGCACTGCCCTGAAGAAAATCCGTCAAAGTAACTTTTCCAACATATCCCTATTGTTTACTCCCTTAGCTCTTCTCCCGGTTCCCTCCCTCTTTGCCCCACTCCCAGGACTTGTGGTCCGAATGGTTTGGGCTGGAACGACTTGGGCCAAATCGAGTTCCAATTTTCATCTGTGTTTAACTCCGACAAATTTGAAGACAACATCGAATCAATGGGTAAACCGACATTCCCGGATATGCTTAACATTTTTTATAAACATCAGGTCACAATCCATCATCACTGTCGACAACACTGGGCAAACAGATGTCATACTTTTGGACGTTTCCAAAGCATTGGACGAGGTACAGCATTTAAGACTAATGGATAAATTATATCATCATGGGCAATCTTCACAGCTGGATTAAATATTCCCTACACGAGAGAGCACAGCATGTCGTCCTCGAAAACGGAAGATTCATCACTGCACCTGTCCAGTCTGGATTTCCACAGGGCATCGTCCTGGATCCCATATTTTTCCTACTATACATTAACAAGCTATCAGATTACACAGTCAACAAATCATCAGTTTGACTATTTGCCGATGATTCTGTCCTGTACAGGGAAATAAAAAAAAAAAATAGAGACGCAGAACTACTCCAAGAAGATCTGGAGGCCCTGCTAGCTTGGGAGAATGACTGGCTCATGGAAATCCATCCCAACAAATGCCAAGTCATACACATTACCAGCAAGAGAAAACCTATAGGACAACCATATAACATCTATGGCCATGTCTTAGATGAAGTTGAATCTGCTAAATACCTGGGAGCAAAAAGCCAAAATGTGGCTAAAAATTTTAAAAAAAATATAAAATTTATGTACATTGGAATAAAAAGAGATGTGTATTATGTTTTTTTTTTTTTAAATTTGATAAATTTTATATAGGATTCACACAGAGCACATGCATAAACTTGATACCTAATAAATGTACATGGAACTGTGGAACACTGACAAAATGTTATCTAGGATTTTGATAAATGTTGTAATATCACAGGCACTTGGTCTTGGGGCATGGAGCCCTGATTTGTTTACAGTTAATTTTCTTTTCTTTAATTTTTCAGTTTTTTTCCCTCTTTTAATATGTTCTTGCTCTGATATCCAAATATACATGCTATATAACTTTACAATAACAGCTTCATATAAATGATGCCCTCTCCTCTCACTTACCTGAAGTGCCTGTGACTTCAATTAAACTCCTGGCTTATATATACATACATTAGCATTAAATGTAAATTATTTTGATTTTAGGCCCGCCTGTACACTATCTGGTTCCAATGAAATATAAATATGTACTATTAGAAGCTAAACAATTTTTGTGTGTGGGAGTGGGTAGCAGTTTTGTTCAATTTAATAATAAAAAAAAATTGCTCTTTTTTTCAGTAAGACACATAAACAAGAAATTTATCAAACTGAAACATTTTGATTTTGAATTCATATTATTTTCAAAAACACTTTTTTTTTTACTAACTTTCAAAAGCTTTTACCATAAACATGTTAAATACATTTGTTAGAGCATACATGAAAAAGTGCACAGAATAGTATATTTAATGTATGGTAAGGCCACAATTAAAAAATGTGTTTGTTTCCCCTCCCCCTGCCATTAATATTGGAGCTGACCAGGCAGGCAGGGTATAATTTTTTTTTTAGGATAGTAATTCCACTTCAAATTGTTTAACAATTGAAACAGATTGGAATGGCTATCTAAATATCATCAATTCATTCTATAAACTATAGACTGGGTGAATACAATTGTTGTACTCAGTTTTTTTATTCACAATTCTGACAATCACAATAGAAATATATTTTTTGGGTGTGTCATTAATGGCATTTCCTAATATTTAATACTTGTATCTTTTTATTAATATGTATTGCCAGATACGTTGAAAGACTACAACATATTTTTATGGTCATAGAACACTGAATTTCTATGGTCTTTGGAAGAATTGATATATGAAACAGAATATTTATTAAACAAGTGACTAGAATCAAACAACTTTGACATCATGATCAGAATAGTGTAAAACTTTGACATCATGATCAGAATATTGTAAAACTTTGACATCATGATCAGAATATTATAAAACTTTGACATCATGATCAGAATATTGTAAAACTGTTAAAGATTATTTTTTTGGATTTCGTTTGGCAATGTCCCTTTTAGCAGCAATGCACAGGTCGCACACATCCTTCCAAGTATCCTTTTTGGGAAAAGAATATAATTTGTTGTTCACTATTTTTTTTTTTAATTTACCGGTGTCTGAATATATTTTTATAACAAGGTTATCTTACCATCCAGCTTGAAATCTTCAGTTTTTTTTTATAAACGCAGATAAAATTTTTGACTCTGCTGCTTTTTTAAGACACGGCACAGGGCGAGGGGAAACAAAGTTAATTTTAATTTTGGCCTAATACATATACATTCATTGAATGTATCTATGGGAACACTTTCATTAGTCATGTTGGGGGAAATAAGTGAGGTTTAACAAGTGTTCTTTATTGATTTTATATTTTTCAGTAATGATATGAGAAAAGTCATGGTTCATGTCAGGTGGGCTTTTAATTTCACATCATGGAGACCAGGACAAACAGAATGGACATTCTGTAACCAGTGTATACAAAAGGAAGAAAGAGAAAGAATAAAGAAATTCTACTTCACAAAAGATGCAAAAGCTGCCATGGTAAAATATTGATCTTGCAATTTACTCTGTCAATATGTAAAATCATTTTTTGGGGTTACAACTTTCAATGGATTTCAAGATTATCTTAACTTATTTAATATACTATATCCTAGGTAAAAAAGTCTGGGTGTATATATAGGAATCCCCCTGTCCTTTTGTCTGTCCTTCTGTCTGTACATGTGCCTTGTAAGTACACTCCTCTTAAACAGCTAGGCAGGAATATTAACCTTGTACAACATAAAGGGGAGATAATCAAAATTAATTTGATAGTGGCATCTCTGCTGTTTTTCAATAATTTATACAGCTTTAACTGCTTGTATAAAAAAGGTTGTATTCAGTTAACTTTGCTGCAGTACTGGGTGTATTCAGCACAATCTGTGATTAGGTCCTAAATATGCATGTAACATTTGCCATGGGATGTTAATCAATCAACCAATCCATTTCTTCATATGTATACTGTAAATTCAGAAATTATTGCAAGGTTTTTATTAATGTGAATAATGGGACTTGATGAGTATCGAAATAATAAGAACACAATTACTAATCTCGCATTTTCGTAAATTATACAAAAATCGCAATAATAAATGCACGCAATAATTTTTGAATTTACAGTATATGAAGAAATGGATTGGTTGATTGATTAACATCCCATGGCAAATGTTACATGCATATTTAGGACCTAATCAAACTAGCTATTAATACAATTGGTAGATTGAACTGGATTGATTTATTGCTTGTTGCTTAATGTTCAGTGGCAATTATTTCATGTATATTTAGGTCGAGAAAACTATTAAAGATTAATACAATATGTAGTTTCTGCAAAGTGGGACGACAGGAAAGAACAGGGAGGAAGAGCGATAAACTTGTTTGACTGGTAAAAAAGGAAGACATGTCTCTCTGCTTACGTTTCTGTTTTTCTTTTTCATAGATATTGTTTAACGTTTGTCTTTAAAACTAAGAGTGAATAATCAAGTTTAATTCTAACAACATTTTCATTACTGATGTTGGTTCAGTTACCATGGTTACCTTGTTAGTTACTCGGGGGAACAGTTAGAAACACTGTTCCTTTTTTATTCTATTAAAAGTGCTCATGTGATCAATGAAATTTGTTCACCAATGATTAGAATTAAAAGTAAAATCTGAGTTGTTTTACTTTCTCGGACTTAACATTATTAACTGTTCACTCCTTAATTGTTCAATAAGTGAAGTTATAAAAATCTTTTAGAATATTTGTCACCAGGTGCAACTGTTTTAGGACTGATCCATTTCTGGTCACATCACCTTCATTATAATGGACTTTACTGTGAACACAATTCCAAACATGGTTTACTGTTTTAAGTGTACTGGCCTGGACTGCCATTACAATGTTATGAAGAATAGTCCATTCTAAATGAAATTCACCTATCAAAAATGGACTTAACATTAAGTAGGGATAAAACATTTGGAAATAAATAAGATTTACCTAACTTTACATGGACTGGACTGTGACAGAATGTTCCAAGATTGATATACTACTAAATCTTTATTTTTATACGACCGCAAAAAAATCTTGCCGTCGTATATTGGTATGACGTTGGCGTCGTCGTCGTCGTCATCATCCGAAGACACATTGGTTTTCGCACTCTAACTTTAGTTTAAGGGAATGGATCTATATGAAATTTTACCATAGGGTTCAATATAACAAAAGGAAGGTTGGGATTAATTTTTTGGGGGTTATGGTACCAACAGTTAAGGAATTGGGGGCCAAAAAGGTGCCAAAAATAAGCATTTTTGTAACTTCCAGACAAAACTTGTGTGTTTGTGTATGGATCTCTCTGACATTGTACCACAAGGTTCAATATTACACAGGGAATGCTGGGATTGATTTCAGGGGTAATTGCCTCAAAATTTTAGGAATTAGGGGACAAAAAAGGGACAAAAAACAAGCATTTTTCTAGTTTCCAGACAATAACTTGTGTTTAAGTGTATGGATCTCTCTGAAATTGTACTGCAAGGTACCATACCACAAAGGGAAGGCTGGGATTGATTTTGGGGGTAATTGCCTCAAAATTTTAGGAAAAAGGGGCCAAAAAGGGGCAAAAAACAAGCATTTTTCTAGTTTCAGGACAATAACTTGTGTGTAAGTGTATGGATCTTTATGAAATTGTACTACAAGGTTCCATATCACAAAGGGAAAGCTGGGTTTGAGTTTGGGGGTAATTGACCTAAATGTATAGGAATTTGGGGCCAAAAAGGGGCCAAAAAACAAGCATTTTTCTAGTTTCCAGACAATAACTTGTGTTCAAGTGTATGTATCTCTCTGAAATTGTACTGCAAGGTACCATACCACAAAGGGAAGCCTGGGATTGAGTTTTGGGGTGATGAATCATTAGGGGGTTCAAAAAATTTGGGGGTGATTTTTTTTTCCTTTTTTTTTCTTTAAAATTTACCATTTTAAATTGGTTATTTCTGATTTATATATAAAAGCAAATAATAATGATATGGTTTGAATAGGTAAATTAAAATTTTTTAAGTTCTTAAACCACAATCATTCTGTGTCAGAAACCTATGCTGTGTCAAATATTTAATCACAATCCAAATTCAGTTCTGTATCAAGCTTGAATGTTGTGTCCATACTTGCCCCAACTGTTCAGGGTTTGACCTCTGCAGTCGTATTAAGCTGCGCCCAGCGGAGCATTTTATTTATTTAGTTATGGTGACTTAAATCCCCAATTTCTTGTTGTTCTTTTTTTCCATTAACAAAATGCGGAACTGTTATTATACAGATTGGCACAGTAGCAAATAGAAATGTTTTCATTGTAGAGCTAACATCAATAATAGTCACAGATTTGATATATTCTTTGAGCTGTGTTTGTTTATTCCACATTGGCTAGAGATCTCACTAAACATATTTAACCCTGCTGCATTTTTGCCCCTGTTCCAAGTAAATAACCTCTAGCCTTTGTAAGTCTGGTATGTTTTTTAAATTTTTGTTCATTTGTATGTTTCTGAGTTTAATGTGGCATCCATTTCATTGAACTAGTATACGTTATTGTTTAGGGGCCAGCTGAAGCCCACCTCCAGGTGTGGGATTTTCTAGCTGTGTAACGAAGACCCATTGGTGGCCTTGGACTGTTTTCTGCCCTTTGTGCGGGTTGTTGTCTCTTTGACACATTCCCTGTTTCCATTCTCTATTTGAGGACCAATTTAATGATGATCTGTTTTCCGTTTCTTTAGTATTGTTTAGAAGTCTGCCTAACTTATATATCAGCAGAATAACAATTATTTTTTGCATTGCATACATTTGCTGTTGTCTGTGAAGAGAAATAAAAACAGTAATTGTTGATACATGTCACTGTTATCAGATAGAACATTGGTTTAATTTATCAAGGAGTATCAGCTTGGAGTTGGTTGTTTTTGTACAGTCTTTTTTTAAATGTTTTATTTTGATTTTGTTGTTGTAAATTTCAAGTCACTTTTGAAAAATGTAAAGTGGACTAAAAATAGACTATTCCTGATAGTTATGATAATAGTCCAGTCCAGTCCATTTTAACAAAGTTGAACCATGTATTCCAGTTTGCAAGTAGGTAAAGTTGACTAAGAATGGAATATCCCTTATGAAATAATGACAACAGTCTAGCCCAGTCCATTAGAAAAATTCAACCATGGATTTCTAACAGTAAAGTCCATTTTAAAGTAGGTAAATCTTGCCAGTAATAAATTAACCTCAACAATTCAGCCCAGGTGACTGATATTCTTAACAATATTTGAATACTGATCATGCTGATAGAATAGTTTGTAAAAATAGCAATTTTCCAGAGAAATTTAATAAATGATTTTGATTTTGATTTGATTTTTGGTGTTTTAACGCCACTTTTAAGCACCGCTTTTGGGCTATTTCGTGGCGGCCAGTTTTTATTGGTGGAGGAAGCCGGAGCGCCCGGAGAAAACCACCGACCTTCGATAGGAAAACTGACAATCCTAGTCAATTAAGATTGGAGTCGAGTGCACCCGCACGAGCGGGGTTCGAACTCACAACCTCAGTGTTGACTGGCTAGTGATTACAGTAGTAACTACTTAGACCACTCGGCCACCGAGGCCCCTTTTAATAAATGTATTCACATACATGACATAACTCTGCTTCTACTGACCATTTCAATCAATAGTGAGCAATTTTCAATGATGACTTGAGGACATGTCACAGACAGATCCGTAAAATGTAATCTTCCTCACTGAACAGTGTTTCTAATACTTTTCTCAATGAACAGTCCTCCATAAGATGGAGGGTCATAATTGAATTATATTCACATTGGAATTACTTAATAACCTTTTTATCAAGGAGTATTTTTCAAAACATCTTTTTCAATATGAATTATAATGATCTTTATATTGATCTGTATAAACATTTATCAATTTTCAATATATTCACTAGTAAATACAATTATTTATTCTTATAATGCCCCGTAGAATGAGGACATTGATTTTGAGGTCACCAATGCAACGTTCAAGTTCACAGCAACAATATAAAAGTGAAATTGGGGCCACATTTTGTTGTTGGGATTATATATTTTTAACCATATGTCAAACATTCACCATACTTTGCTTGAGGATGACCCTTGAAATGAACAAAACCCTAATGTTATATGTTTTGGTCAGTAGATGAAAGGTCAATGTCACAATATTTATTTTACATCCATCTACAAAAAGGATTGTCAGTTTTCCTGTCCAAAGGTGGATGGTTTTCTCCAGGCACCACAGCTTCCTCCACCAATAAAAACTGGCCACCACGATATAGCCAAGAGCACTGAAGGTGGCATTGAACACCGATAATCGAACAATATTAACCACCGACTGGATTTAAACATTCACAGACACATTTTTACATAATGCCATTGTGCACCTCTGATTATGTTGATCTGAATAAATTGACTGACATTTCTATTCAAATTTGGAGCAAAGGTATGAATTTGTGAGCTCTGCTTATTTTAAATTATTTTTTACATTTTACCAATATCATTTTGTTTTTGTTAGATAGGTCGACTGCTGATACGAAAGTTAGTAGCTGAATACACAGATATTCCATACCAAGACATACAGTTGTCTAGGACAGAGAAAGGAAGGCCTTATGTTGTGAATAGAAGCCTTCCTTTTGATTTTAATGTATCACATCAGGGAGATTATGCTGTGATAGGCGCTGAGTCTGAAACCATTATCGGAACTGACGTTATGAAACTAGAACCACCTCGTAAGTTTCTGCTTTTTATGCCCCCGCCGTAGCGGTGGGGGCATTAAGTTTTACCCTTGTCCGTCTGTACGTACGTACGTCCGTACGTCCCGAAATTGGTTTCCGTTCTCTAACTTGAGTTTGCCTCAACCAAATGTTATGAAACTTATACACAATGCTTATTACCACAAAAGACAGATCAAGTTTGAATTTTTTTGGCGTCACTTTAACTGTTCTAGAGTTATGCCCCTTTATAAATGGAAAATTTGCAAAATTTTTAGTTGCCGTTCTCTAACTTAAGTTTGCCTCAACCAAATGTTATGAAACCTATACACAATGCTTATTACCACAAAACACAGATCAAGTTTGAATTTTTTTAATTTATAAAGTGTTATATGAATAAAAGTATCTTGAAAGCATCATATGCTGAATTTAAGTGACAAAAAAATGTTTGATATGATGGTAAGCATGGTTAGTCAACATGTATATCTGCAAGAGAACTCATACCCAGCGTTACAATGTTTGTTGTGATTTATTAGAACAACCCTTCTTATGCCGAGCCTGACTCAGCTAGTTTAACCTAAGCGCTTTATTGATTTGATTTGATTTTTGGTGTTTTAACGCCACTTTTAAGCACCGCTTTTGGGCTATTTCGTGGCGGCCAGTTTTTATTGGTGGAGGAAGCCGGAGTGCCCGGAGAAAACCACGACCTTCGATAGGAAAACTGACAATCCTAGTAATCTCCGCACGAGCGGGGTTCGAACTCACAACCCACTTAATTGCAAACTCAGCAAATTATAAACATAACTATTGTATTTGAAGATTCTGAATTATAATTCCACCAGAAGTGATACAGCCATTGTTTGAGTGGTAAACTGAAAGAAATGAAAATACAATATTTGCAATATGTACGAATGAAATATATGAATGTTTAAATGCAAAAATTATATAAATAGAACAAGTCAAATACGAAAGTGGAATTTGCAGTTCAATTCAAAGTCATGTATGTCAGTGATAATAGTTATTTATTAGAACTTAGCATACCATACTAAAGGTGCATGCCATTCCTAATTCTTTTAAAATCAGTTAAAAAATAGGGAAACCACTGATGACGTACATCTTAAACTTAGCAAGATTGTATGTAGCCAAACAATGAATTGGAGGATTACCAGGAAAATGACATGCCAAGAGTATAAAATATCTCTGATTTCTTTGCCCTTTTCTTAAAAAAATGCTTCTCTGTCTCAAGTTAATCATCAGACCTACAGAAATGTGTCTTTAAAAGTTCATGAAATATAAGAACTAACTATTGTTCAATTAAAACAGTCTTTGGTTTACTTTATTGTTGATATGTTGAGAAATTACATGGCATTCCTTTTTTTATTTTAAAAACAAGCGCATAGAATGGGAGACAACTCATGCTAAAAATTAAAAACGTACAAAATTTATTCTTGATTCATTGATTCCTGCCTCAGAATTTTTATTTTGAATTATTTGATGAATTATTCACAAAAACAAATATACAGTTCAGTTGAGACCTTTCTCATCTTTTATGTAAACGTATTAAAAAAAGAGCTGTCCAAAAATGTATTAGACAAAGAAAAATCTATTTCTTGTACATTTCTTTTGTTAGGATCATCTGGTGTTGGTAAATTTTTTGACACAATGAATCGACAGTTCTCAGAAGATGAATGGAAGATTATCAAGTCTCCTGCCATGGAAACAGACCAACTGAAATTATTTTTTAGACACTGGGTTTGCATCTTTTTTGATACTTAAAAAAATCTTCAACACAAAAAATGATATGCCTATGAATTAGAAAAAAAAAGAAATTAAATAAAATTTTGCTGGCTCACATATCCAGATCAGAGTTTATTACACTGATGCATGTTTAACAAAAACAGACTTTTTCAGAGGTGGATTGGAGGGCGGGGCTTATTGAGCTACATATATGGTTAATGCATAGACTTTTTACAAGTCTAACTCCTAATATTACTTTCTTGGTGCCCCAGCCCTTTTATCATAATCCTGGGCCACATCTGTCTGGTCTCATGGTAGCATACTTAGCTTGAACGTCAATGAATGTAGGAGGATATGGGACTCTTATAATGATATTTTCTACTTCTCAATGGTTATTTAGAACACATCAATCAACTCATATATGTGTTATTTGTATGCAGTTGTGATTTCATATTCAATTAAAAAACATATATTAAGCTTTTTAAAAATATCTTATCTATTGTAAATTCATAAATATTTGTGATGTTTTTATTATTGTCAAAATTGGGTTAAAAAAACATAAAATCAGCAATAAAATTTTGATGTTATAATTGGCATGCAGCATTTCCTGAAAGTGCAATAATTAATTTTGAAGTGGTTTCCACTAGTCACAGTAATAAATGCAAGCAAACATTACTGAATAAACAACATATATCACTTAATGCAGTAAAAAAAACCAAGATTAATTATTCAAAAATCATAATCTTATTTTGCAGTGTCTGAAAGAGAGTTATGTGAAGGCCCTTGGAATTGGTATTGGTTTTGAGATTGACAGGTTGAACTTCAAGCTAAACACATTAAACATCCCACCAGATAAACCTCTGACAAATACTACCTTAAAAGTTGACAACAAGGAAGAAAAGGACTGGATATTTGAAGAGCATTTACTGGACGACCACTGTTTGGCAGTGGCTTACAAAAAGACACAGGATGTATGTACAGTTTCTAAGGTTGCCACTTTTGATTTTGTATAATAATTGCAACTAAGTTTCCTTTCAAATTTGTGAATTCAACTTAGTCCAATATTTTCATTTGGATACTTAAACAAAAATAAATGGGGAAATGGAATACTGTGGATTCATTACCATTCCTGGGGTACAAATTTTCGTGGATTTTGTGGATACAGATGAACCACGAATTTAAATGTTCAACAAATTACAAATTTTCTATAGGCTTGTATGCAGATTGTGGCAAAACCACGAAATCAAATATCAACGAAAATGTAAGTATTCCTCAATCCACAAAAATTGGTACCCATGAAAATAAATGAATCCACAGCATACCAGTGTTTTCCCCAGGGCCTTAAAGGACCGCAGGCCCACGATGTATATTTTTTTACCGTGGTGGTATCGTTCTTACCGCGATGTATTATATTTCTCCGGTGCTAAAATTTTTGTTAAATCTTTTCCGTGCGGTATAAAATTCCAGGTGAAATTTGACCAGTTCAAACCAGTTCAGATTGTTTACACCACGTGATTGATTTACCTTTATGAGGTTAACCTTTGTTGATTGGATTTAATCGATGTAATTAACACTTGTAAAATGATTCTTTTGTGTTTTAATTAAGAGGTCATAACTTTATGATCGTAGATAACTATTTTATGGCTTCACTCACCACCTGACAAGTCGGCAAATACTTTGTACACAAACCGTGTTGACTCGATAGTTGTACACAGGACGGTACACATTTTGTACATTATAAAGTTGGCTCATTACGTATAATGACCATTATACACTTCTCAATACTTATATAATAGTATTAAATGTCTGATTAAACCATGGCCAAATTATCTTTAATTTTGACATAGTTTATATTGCATGATATTCCGGTTTCAAACTATCATAGTATCTGTCAACAAGTAATTCAAAGGGGACGGATCACATGACCCAGTTAGTTCGCATAGAATACCCAAGATTATTTACAATTAACTGCAATCTATTCTATTTTATAAATAAAATGCATGACTGTACCTTCAAACTGGATATCTATATCCATATGATAAGTAATGAATAACAGAAGTGATTTGCAAATTTTATCCATAAGCACATGTTAAATCTATTTATATCTACTTCCTGTCATTTAGGCGGGAAAATAGGGAGACTTAGTTGTTGACATTGAATAGGGTTACTTATAGATCTATAGAACTAGGATAAATTTATAGATTTAGGAATTCTTTTTAAATGGATCATGACAAAAAAAGATTTAGATTTCAATGCAGTATTAAGTCTGTATCTATGTTTGATTATCACTAAAGACAAGAAAAGTTAATATTTACATGAAATCTAAGGCAAAATGTTTTGAAATTTATGAAAAATTTCTGTTTATTAAAATTTAAGATAGAAACTGGTTCAAATAATAATACAATATTTATTCTTGTTAATTTTATATCTCCTTATGACAGGAATCCTTTCACAATACAACATCTTTCATTCTAGAAATAAGAAAGTTTATTAAATTGAACATTTTTGTTCTCTTTTGAATGATAATTTTTTCTTATTGATCATTGATTTTATAAAAGATTTAATAACTTTAAATTTAGATGAATATTTTGTAATGTATCATGTTTTATTTATTTTTAAAAAATATTAAAGTATACATGTCAAACTGTTTATTGATTTACTTCTTTTTTACCAATAATTTTCAATGTCTACATAATACAGTACCACAGTATTAAAACAAAACAGGAGACATAAAAACTACAGTTACTAGAAATATAGCTAAGCGACGTGACGCGGTGCGACACAACTGATTGTATGAATCATTTCACCAAGCAGTCCACACGTGTTACCCTGGTGCTATCCAAAAATCCTGGGGAGAACACTGCATACATCAGTATTATGAGACAGCAACAAAATTTCATGTATAACCAAAAGTGGTCATATACAGTCCTCAATAATAGACAGGGGTCGAAACAATTTGTCAAGATCTAAATCTTCCCAAATCTGTGAATGTTGTGAATAAATTCAACAGAAAATAAATGGACTTAGTTTTCTGCCATTGACATTTACAGACAATATGATTAAAATACAAGCTTTGCTCACAAGAATCTGACAACACTCCGGTTTACTTTCTGTTTTGGTTATTATTACATCAGCCAATGAAATTTCAGCCTTCAAATTCTTTTTATACGACCACAAAAAATTTTGCGGTCGTATATTGGTATGACATTGGCATCGTCGTCGTCCGAAGACACATTGGTTTTCACACAATAACTTTAGTTTAAGTGAATGGATCTCTATGAAGTTTTACCATAAGGTTCAATACCACAAAAGGAAGGTTGGGATTGATTTTGGGGGTTATGGTAGTTAAGGAATTAGGGGCCAAAAAGGGGCAAAAAATAAGCATTTTTCTAGTTTCCAGACAATAACTTGTGGAATGGTGTATGGATCTCTCTGAAATTATACCACAAGTTTCCATACCACAAAGGGATGGTTAGGATTTGTTTTTGGGGGTTATGGCTCAAACTGTTTAGAAATTAGGTGCAAAAAAGGGGGAAAAACAAGGGTGTCCTGGTTAATGGACAAATACTTTAGTACAAAAAATTTGTTTGTGGGGGAGGGGGGTCAATTCACAACAGTAAAGTGTATTGCACAAAAGCAAAAAATTGAATATAAATTCAAATCCTATAACCAATTCTAAGTTCTTTGACTACAGTTATTCTGTGTCAGAAACCTATTATGTGTCAAATATTTAATTACAATCCAAATTCAGACCTGTATCAAGCGCGAATATTGCGTTCATTTTTGCCCCAACTGTTCAGGGTTGGACCTCTGCGGTCGTATCCAGCTGCACTTGGCGAAGCAATTTATTAAGGTGTGTATTAATCCGACAAAACCAGAGGATCCCAAAAGGTATTTAACACAGAAAGTGTTTTTGACATGATAAATTTATAAACCTCAATGGATTATTTTGAAACTTGGACAGAAGAATTAAGCTAATTTGCAATATCAAGAAATATCATCTAAACAAAATGTTGATTTTTAAAAAAAATTCTGTATTTCAGGGAGCTACCATTTGATTTTTTTTTTTTGGGGGGGGGGGCTAGGATGAAATTTGAAAAAAATATGCAGGACAGGAGTTTTGAGTAAAAAAAAAAGGCAGGATGAGACACTTTGCAAAAAAAAAAAGGCAGGATGACAATTTATGTTAAAAAAAGTCAGGATAAACTTAAAAAAGAAAAAAGGCAGGACCGAATAGAGTGAAAAATAAAAAAGCAGGACAGAGATTGCAACTAAAAAAATGCAGGACAAATTTTTCATCCTAACCCCCCCCATAAAAATCAAATGGCAGCTCCCTAACTAATAAATGAACTCACTTTTTACAGTCAACATTATACTTTTCCACTGACATCAGCAATCACAGTGGAAACCTTTTTTTTTTTTTATGCCCCCTCTGTAAGTGAAGGGGTCATTAAGTGTTACCCTTGACCATCCTACCTTCCTTCTGTTCCATTTTCGTTTCATCACTGAAGCTTCAGTTTTTCCAGTCCAAATTTTATGAAACTGATATACAATGCTAAGAACCAAAACTCGCAGAAACAGATTTAATTTGGGCAGTTAGTCACTTAACTTTCAGAGTAATGCCCCTTTATATCTTTGAAAATTTCAAATGTACAAAAAGTATTTTCACATATTATAAACAAGCTTGAGCGGGGCATTCTTGTCCTCATACACTTTCTTCTTTTATTTCTCAAAGTTTACACACTTGCTTTGGGGAAATTGATTTTTACAAGTATTCCACAAAAATGCATCAAAGCACACCACACTTAATCTCACTAAAAGAACCGAAGTTTTATTTTTGTTGAGCCTGCAAAATTTATCTCGCGAAAGCAAGACATATTGATCTTAGGTTCCGTCGTCGGTGGCATCAACATTTAGGTTCTGTCTGTGGTTAAAGTTTTTTAAGACATCAACAAATTTGTCAAAAATGCAGTATCCAGAGCAAAATTTTAAAAATATTTATTTTCATTTTTCCGTATTTTACTGATAATTGGACTTAAGTTTTTTCACGCTTAACATTCAGATTCAGTCTGAGGAAAAAGGTTTTCAGTAATCAATAACTTTGTCAAACCTTCATGGAATCATATGAAATTTGGGACAGAAGCTTGTTAATGACCAAAATACAATATCCAGAGCAAAATTTTGAAAATAATTATTTTCATTTTTCCGTATTTTACTGATAAAATGACTTACTGTAAATTCAGAAATTATTGCGTGCATTTATTATTGCGATTTTTGAAAACAGATCAAAAATGCGAGATTAGTTATTGCGATTTCAGGAAAATATGCACACAGTGTTATGTATCGGATACCAGAATGCGAGTTCTTATTATTGTGATTCTCACCCAGTCGCATTATTCGCATTAATAAAAACCTCTCAATAATTTCTGAATTTACAGTAGTTTTTGTCGAGCCTTCGACTTTAGTCGAAAAAGCGAGACATAGCGATCCTACATTCCGTCGGCGTCGTCGTCGGCGGCGTCCACAAATATTCACTCTGTGGTTAAAGTTTTTGAAATTTTAATAACTTTCTTAAACTATCCTGGATTTCTACCAAACTTGGACAGAAGCTTGTTTATGATCATAAGATAGTATCCAGAAGTAAATTTTGTAAAAATAAAATTCAATTTTTTCCGTATTTTACTTATAAATGGACTTAGTTTTTCTGCCGGGAAATATTACATTCACTCTGTGGTTAAAGTTTTTAAAATTTTACTAACTTTCTTAAACTATCCTGGGTTTCTACCAAACTTGGACAGAAGCTTGTTTATGATCATAAGATAGTATTCAGAAGTAAATTTTGTAAAAATAAAATTCCATTTTTTCCGTATTTTACTTATAAATGGACTTAGATTTTCTGCCAGGAAACAACAAATTCACTCTGTGGTTAAAGTTTTTAAAATTTTAATAACTTTCTTATACTATTTTGGATTTGTACCAACTTGGACAGAAGCTTGTTTATGATCAAAAGCTAGTATCTAGAAGGAAATTTTGTAAAAAAATAAATCCGTTTTTTCTGTATTTTACTTTTAAATGGACTTAGATTTTCTGCCAGGAAACAACACATTCACTCTGTGGTTAAAGTTTTTAAAATTTTAATAACTTTCTTATACTATTTAGGATTTGTACCAAACTTGGACAGAAGCTTGTTTATGATCAAATGCTAGTATCTAGAAGGAAATTTTGTTTTCTTCCAGTTAACATAACATTCAGTCTGCAGTTAAAGTTTTTAAACATTTATTAGTTAATTAATAAACTATCCTGGATTTTTACCAAACTTGGACAGAAGCTTCTTACAATCAAAAGATAGTATCAAGAGGAATATTTTTATTGATTTACTTCCTCATTTTTGTTGAGCCTGCGATTAACAGAAAAAGTAGGCGAGACACTGGGTTCCGCGGAACCCTTACAAATTTTTTTTACAATTAACAAGTAGATAAAGTCAGGTTAAAGTTTGTTACACATCAAATACTTTGTCAAGCCTTCATAGAATTTTATGAAATTTTTTTATGATTAAGAGATAATGTCTGAAGCAAACTTTTGAAAATAGATTTTCATTTTCAGTATTTTCCTGATAGATGGACAGTCTGGGATTAAATTTTTTTGACATGATAAGTTTGTTAACCTTCATGGATTGTTATGAATCTTGGACAGAAGCTATTCTTCAAGACCAAGAAATAGCATCTAAAGAGAAAGTAATTTTTTTGTTTAAATTCTGTATTTTGCTGATAAATGGACTCAATTTTTGTCGAGCCTGCGACTTTTGTTGCAGAAAGCTCGACATAGGGATAGTGATCTGGTGGCTGCGGCAGCGTTAGCTAACTTCTTAAAAGCTTTATATTTTAGAAGGTGGAAGATCTGGATGCTTCATTCTTTTTGTAATGTTAAATTCTCTCTTATAATAAGTAATAGGATAACTATATTTGGTATGTGCGTACCTTGCAAGGTTCTCATGCCGTCAGACAGTTTTCACTTGACCTCGACCTCATTTCATGGATCAGTGAACAAGGTTCAGATTTGGTGGTCAAGTCCATATCTCAGATACTATAAGCAATAAGTCTAGTATATTTGGTGTATGGAAGGACTGTAAGGTGTACATATCCAACTGGCAGGTGTCATCTGACCTTGACCTCATTTTCATGGTTCAGTGGTTATAGTTAATATTTTGTGTTTTGGTCTGTTTTTCTTATACCGTATGCAATAGGTCTTCTATATTTGGTGTATGGAATGATTGTAAGGTGTACATGTCTAGCTGGCAGGTGTCATCTGACCTTGACCTCATTTTCATGGCTCAGTGGTCAAAGTTAAGTTTTTGAGTTTTGGTTTTTTTTTCTTATACTATATGCAATAGTTCAACTATATTTGGTGTATGGAAATATTTTATGACCTATATGTCAGTCACACAGGTTTTATTTGACCTTGACCTCATTTTCAAGGTTCTTTGCTCAGTGTTAAGTTTTTGTGTTTTGGTCTGTTTTTCTTAAACTATAAGCAATAGGTCAACTATATTTGTTGTATGGAAGAATTGTTAGCTGTACATGCCTGCCTAGCATGGTTCATCTGACCTTGACCTCATTCTCATGGTGCATTGGTCAATGCTTTATTACTTGGTTAATGGTAAGTTTATGTGACAGTTGTATTAAAGCTTTATATTTAGGACTATCAACATAATATCAATGACTAGTAAAGAAGTCGAGACATTTCATCATGTGCACTCTTGTTAAGTCAACATTACACTTTTACACTGACAGCAGCAATTGTAGGCGAGACACAGGGTTTCGGGGAACCCCATACAAATTTTTATTTTAAGGTTTCTAAAGTATGTCTATTTTATCCTTTACCTCATTTTGTTTTATTACAGATTCATAATAATAGCCAATGTACAGATTACTTAAGTTTCAGGATTTTGGATACATTAAAAAATTTCAACAGTATTTTTATTTTTATTTCAGGATCAGATAGAAACAAGTAAAAACTTTTCCATTCTGGATTACAGAACACTCATACAAGGTGCTGTCCCTTTATATGATCCTGAGGACCAATACTGGAATGATTTTTGTAATAAGCCAGAGAATCCTGAACTATTGAAAAAATCTAATAAATCTTGACATTTATATTAATTTGTCGTTATTGCCCACCCAGTTTGTTTTAGGCCATATGTTTTGCTGTCTGTACACCTGTCTGTCTGTTTTGAATCAGGTTGAATTTTTTGTCAAGATAGTTTATCATGAGTTTGGGGTCACACCAACTTGAAACTAGGTAGACATAAATATGAAAATAAGGAGATATGGTATGATTGTAAATGAAACCATGATACACCAGAGTCCAAATGATGTAAATGGATGCAACTATAGATCACTGTACTACCTTTAACAATGAGCAAAACCCATACTTTAGAGTAGGGATGTCAACGAGTACTCGAGTACTGGATTATCGCTCGGTAGTACCAAGTATCGATTACCAAAATGATACTCGACTAATCGGTTTCCTGTTAGAATATTGTTGCTTTCTTAAGCTTAAAAAGAAATATTTTTATTGAGAGCGCCTCCCGTGAAATCAAATATTCATAACAATGAATAAAAATAAAAATACGATTCGAATGTTTGCGTTTAACTGTCATCTAAAATCACTCTAAACAGAGGTAAGATATATGAAGAAGAGCACTTATTTATATGAAATAGAGTTCAATTTGGTCAAGTTGACTTATTTGTAGATCTTACTTTGCTAAACATTATTGCTGTTTACAGTTTATCTCTATCTATAATAATATTCAAGATAATAACCAAAAACGGCAAAATTTCCTTAAAATTACCAATTCAGGGGCAGCAACCCAACAACGGGTTGTCAGATTCATCTGAAAATTTCAGGGCAGATAGATCTTGACATGATAAACAATTTTACCCCATGTCAGATTTGTTCTAAATGCTTTGGTTTCAGAGATATAAGCCAAAATCTACATTTAACCCCTATGTTCTATTTTTAGTCATGGCGGCCATCTTGGTTGGTTGGCCGGGTCACCAGACACATTTTTTAAACTAGATACCCTAATGATGATTGTGGCTAAGTTTGGTTCAATTTGGCCAAGTAGTTTCAGAGGAGAAGATTTTTGTAAAAGTTAACGACGACGGACGACGACGAGGGACGCCAAGTGATGAGAAAAGCCAGGTGAGCTAAAAAGGTATAATTTTGTGTTTCCATTTTGTAAATGTTTTACCGAGTGATTACTCGAGTATCGCTCGGTAATTCCAACGAGTACTCGATTAGTAAATCTTCACCGAGTTGACATCAGCTAAACCCTCCACTAACATGGGACATGTTCTTTATGATGTGAAAATTTAAAATTATGAGCCAAAACAGGATTTTGAACTCTATTTCATATAAATAAAGTGTGAGCAGGTATCAGGTTAAGTTTTAATGTCAAGGTAGTTGAACTTGAAACTTGGAGCATGTGCTCATTATAATGTGAATTTTTGAATAACCGTTTATTTAACCTAAAAAAATATGGTGCAAGTGGGACATGGTGTCTAGGACTCAGATTCTTATTTCATAGCTTTAAATGTTTAATAGCTTGTTTACAATTATCCATAGTATAAAGGTAAATTAATCAAAGATAGGACATAGCTAATTAGCTCAGGAGACTTTGTTGACTGCATTTATCCCATTAAATTTGAAATAATAGTATTCTACAGCTATACTTAGGTCTGCTTGATATCTTGATATATATCAAAAGGAGATGTGGTATGTTTGTCAATGAGACAATTATCTTCCAGAAACTAAATAATGTAGATGTGAGCAACCAAGGGTTACCGTATGGCCTTCAGCAATGATCAAAACCCATAACGCATAGCAAGCTATAAAAGGCCCCAACATAACAAAATATAAAACAAAACAAATGAGAAAACCAATGGCCTAGTTTATGTATATAACAAACGAAAAACAAATATGATATACAGCACCAACCACTGAATAAAAGGCTCATGACTTGTGATAGGCACATACAGAATATGACTTGTGTGAAACAAGATTGCAGGCTGGTTCAGAACTAAACTTTTTGACGAGATAATTTCAATTTTCCCATTTTCTTGTTGCTCAATCTCTCGTTTTCTGTGAATAGTTGTCTGCTGGTACGGTCTATGTTTCTTTCACTTTTGGTTTTAGATTGGCCCATATGGCATCTTCTCTACCTTTTATAATGGCACTCAGAAAAAGCATGCTATTAGGACACTAAAAGGTGATTGTTTGACACTTATGGTTGCAGTATGTGATGCAGGGAAGGTTCACAAAGATATTCATATGAACTTTTCCATTTAGTCTAAATCGAATAAAGAAGACACTTGTATTGAATCTACCACTATTTCCCGCATCTTAAACCTAACTTGGGGAAATTTTGTGATATGACCCTGGCTTTTGTACATACTAGGTAACTACACAAACACATTGATAATCAAAACTTTTTTCTCCTCTAGTAGAACACATTTTTTTAGACAGTCACACTTTGACCCCTTTGCTGCTCATCTCAAATCCGTGTGACATTTACCAAACTTTAAATTTCTCTGTTTTCCTCAACAACCCTTAATCGAAAATATTGGCAATTCAGTGCTAGGAGTTTGTACCTTATTGATGTTCGTTGCAGTCCATATTTGTCCATTTTTATTATTTGGTGTTGATTTGAATTTTTAGATGAATGGTGGTTTCTTTAGAATTCATTCAAAATTAACGATAAGTAATAAGTACCATCAAGTCTTTAAAATGGAAAGCAGTTCAGAGGTATATGTAAATGGGGTTCTTGGTTTGATGACCAATTAGTATTTGGTTGCAGTCTCATTGATGCTTACAACACATTTCCTTTCATTTATTAAAAGTCTAAAACAGAATTCCATGATGCTGAATTTTATTCAGTAGCCAATGACAATATAAAGCGAGTCATATGACATTTATACAAAGCAAGTCAAATGACGAACTGATAACAAAGCTATTAATTGACTAAATCCATTGCTTTAAATCAATTTACATATACATTAAAATATTACAATACAATAGAACTATGAAAGTATTCTTGTTCATTGGGTGCAAATCTTTGTTGGTATCATGACAAGAACAATATTCATAATCTAGACTAGAGCTTTCAGTCATTGTTTTTTGTACACTGGTTTCAAGGATATTTTTTAAACTTGTGGTCAGAGAACTACTTTTGAAAAATGCTTATATGGGTGGATACAATAAATTTAAATTCTTGAGAGAATTGATAATAGCTTAAAAACACAACAGTATTTAGCCCAATCTTACAAAATTTAAATATATGAACTTGCTTTTTGACATACTACAAACTATCATAATTATACATTTAACATAACTTTAAATTTCAGAGAGGAGAAAATAAAAAAAATTATTTTCAGTAGAATATTAATAATTCAAATATGAATACATCATTGCAAATCTTTTTCTTTTGATAATTTATTTTAATTTAAATATTCATGATTCAAAAATGGAAGAATACATGATTCCAGTTTTTTTTCTTTTCATAAAATTATTTTTATTACTACACAAAAGTACACAACAAGCTATTAACATACATTTGTAAAGCTGGAAAGCTACTCTCATACATCTGTTCATGATAAAAATGCACAACGGCATAAGCACTATATTCTATTGACAATTTACCGTATTTGATAACAACAATAACAGCATGTGAGTTTAGAGGGATAATCTCAGAAAATTGTTAACAATATTTTAACAGAAAATACCACAAAGCATTTTACTTCTCATGTTATACAAATTGTCTCGATATAAATTTGATTACATGCAAACTATACCCTTACACCTGTTAACAAAAATATTTGCAACTTTCACTCTTTGTTGGAAACTTGACTCTTGAAGTTAGTTAAAAGTAGGTCTGATGCTGTATATATGACAGTGCTTTTCTGTCTTTTTGTTACCTTGAAAGCCTTCCCTTTAAGATTTCACAGAAAAATCAATCATACTGATGTTCTTTTTGTCTATCCACCCCCCCTCCCCCAATACCAAATCAGAAAACACTAAATCACAAATGTATTCCTTTATAAAATTTCTTTACACTTTTTTCCTTACAAATATAACATTTTTGGACACAGTGATGTACTTTTCAAAAACAATTTGGAAGGAGAAAAAAAAGTATAATGGTTTTTTTTTCATTTTTCAAAGAAAATTTCGCCTTTCACTATTAAAGTCTGTTATTTTTTTCCATTCACAATATCAATCTCAATCCCAAAGAACTTTTACAACTTCTAAAAAATGAACATAAAATGAACTTATTTATGTACAGATGAAAATATAAATTGTTGACCTTATTATTCTAACCACAACTATATTAAACACATAAAAAAATATTTTACAGGGTTGTTCCAAAATTTATCAAGTGATGGGAGGCACTCAACTAATTAAATATGGGTGGTTGCATTTTCCTTAGAATTAAGTAAGAATTTGAAGTAAAATGAACATTTTTATTTTAAAAGTGGTCAGAGTCTTAAAGTGCCTCCCATCCCCAATGCACTTAATTTTGGGACAGCCCTTTAATATATATTCTTTAGGTTCAACTTTAATTACCAGAATATTTTCATGATTAAAATACGACTGTTAAAATCAATCATAATAATCTTGTTCCGACCAAAAACATCATGCTTATTATTTCTTCAAGCTATTATGACATTAAGCAGTAGATACTATGATTACGGACAATGCGGACAATGCATTCTTATTTTTAATACTTTCACAATCACAATTTTGTATATCCTAAGCACAGATATCACTGCAACATCTTAATACAATGGAATGCCTTATGTCTATGCTATCTAGAAATTATATCACACATTCCTTTAGACTCACAATACACACTTAATTGTATAGCAGTTCCAAGTCTTATAGGATCATTTTTTAACATAACTGGTTCACATACCATGTCTCTTTAAAGGAGACAATATATATCATATTAATACAATTTGACTGTTATTTGCCACTTTAAGTATGTATGATTTCAATACACAAATTAATACTCATTCTCTGTAACCACTTAAACTTTTTCGGCACACATAGTCACCGATCTTTCTGAAAATTGGCTGATATGTAGATCCTATTAGACTAGTCAGAAAAATAATGTCAACCGATATATATATTGGTTGGTTACCATGGTAACAGCAGAGAAAGTTGGGATTTTTGAGAAAAATACAATATTTGGTGTAGTGTTGTGAAATCATGCGGCTACATCTATTAAAAAGAAACACAAAAACAATTAATTTCATTCTTGATTTAGTCAAAATTCAAAAAAAGTTATGGGGAATCTACCTAGAAACATGCGAAATTAATTTCTAAAAAATGATCATTGTGCAATTTTCCTCACAATACGAATTATCTCCCTTTGATGTGTTACACTTATGACTGGACCAAAACGAAAACGCTAATAACTTTTTTTATTTCTCAAAGGATTTATGTCAAATTTGAATTGTTATAAATTTAGACCATTCAATACATAAATATAAGAAAAAAAATAAAGAAAACTTTTTTAAATCTTTATTAAACGTGACCTGGCCAATGTTGACAATGCCAGGACCAAATGAAAATGCTAATAACTTTTTTATTTCTTAAAGGGTTTATGTTAAATTTGAAATATAATAAAGTTTAATCATTTAATATATAATTTAATAAAAAAATATAGAAAAAAATATAAAATATTCAGATAACGTGACCTTTCTAACGTTGACAATAACCTGACCAACAATAGCAATGACCTGACCGATGAAAATTTCTGTGTTATTTTATATTATTAAAAAAAAACAGGAAAAATATATGTTTTTGGTAAAAAAAACTTGACCTGACCAACGTTGACTGTTGTGTCCTGGTCGTTGTACTACTTAATACTTATTTATATCTTATTGGATTTTCTTTAAATTTATAAAAAAAAAAAAAAATTAGGATTGAATGGTAAAAAACTGGGAAAAACAGTTTAGGGTACTATGACGAGCACCGAATTATTTAAACTTTTTATAGTATTGAGTAGTATATTGTATTTAACTGTGTTGTAAATTATGTTGTATATTACCGGTTATAATTTGACACGTTAGATCACAAATATAAAGTAACTCAAAAGGTGTGTTTGAAGTAGGCCATACATACATGTAAGTTAATAAATCCAATATAGTTTGTTTTTTAATATTTTCTAACAGTAAATAGTTATTTTCACGTACTACTTAAGGCATGCGCGAGCCTTGTGCAGGATATCTTGGCAGTTTTTAATATTTTCATAAAAACAAATACACATTTCGCAGACTACTTGAGGTATGCCCGAGCCCCTGCATGCACGATATCTTTGTAGTTTAAAATATTTTCATAAAATATAAGTAAACATATTCGCGGACTTAACTTGAGGGTTACCAGAGCCTTGTCTTGTTTTAAATGTTCCCGAAAGTTTTAAAGCATTTTATATTTTCTTATTTGATAAAAATTAATGGTTCAGTCTAAGTGTTTCTATAAATTTGATGCAAAGCCTATTACATTTAGATAGGTATAAAGTCATTTTTCCTGGTCATGATAACGGTCAGAATGTAGGACAGAAAGTCACAGACAAAAAGTCACAGACAAAAAGTCCAGACAAAAAGTCGCGGACAAAAAGTCACATGTATAATATGTTATAAACATAGACTTCTGCTTCAAAGTAAAATCTATTTTTTTTTGTTTAAAGAAAGACAATTATATACTAATTTTGAGAAACATCTTTCTGTAATGGGCTTTCAGTGGACATCAAAGTATATGTACATGCATATAATTCTTTTAAAGTTACCCTGTGTAAAGAGTTATCATATTGATAAATATTTTTTAATTTGCTGCTAAAAATCTATTAAGATTACTGTTATTTTCTCAAATTTCAATAATCCAATGCCTTTTACTAATGTAAATATAGTGCTACCAAAGGCGGATCCAGGGGGCCATGAGGGCCCGCCCCCTCCTTTCATTGGAAACATTTGGTTGATTACATATGGAATCACTGAAGCATGAATGTAGCGGGCATCTCTTAAGGCAGTCAGTGGTACCCCTGATATGACAATTGTCTAGATGATATATTTTCCACCTGCTGCTCGTTGTTAGACCAGCAGTTATCCGCTGACCGATTTTTCGTGGGTCCTCTTAGGGAAACGGAACTTTTTGGAAAATCTCGAAAATTCCTCCCCGGCCAGAATGTCAGACAAGAAATGTGTCGGATGAATAGCAGGGACCATCGGGTCAACGGCCGACCGTACCCGCCCTTGCTTGTTACGCCCTTTTTTTAGGGGCTCCCTAGTTGATCTATTGAAATGTCTGTCCTTGTCCAATTGATCCCGATTTCTAGTGATATTTCAAATTGTCTGCCTTCATCCCAGCCTTCACCTATTGAAAGACCTTTTTGATTTTTTTGATTTTTTATAACTTTTATAAAAATGATCTTCATCTAGTGCTCATCATCCAATAAAACAATATTATTCAAAACGTATAGCTACATGTATACATGCTTTGCCATTTCAACATTGAGTTTAAGAATGAATAAGAAAAATAAACAGCTCATAATAAAGGTATTTTTTTCTTTATAGAAATGTTAGATGGTCAATTATCATTTATTTAGAGGATCAACGTCTGACTCTTTTGGTTCTATTTTTTATTGTGTTGAATTGTTTCAAATTATTGATTTCAATTAATTTTTGGTCAGTAGACTAGCACAGGACCTACAATGTTCCTAGATTTAGTCATTGTTTTTCTTGTACACTTTTCATGATCATGAAAACAGACTAAAATTTCTTCATAATCAGCACTTTTATCCAGATTAGAGAAATTGTATTTGTTTCATTCAAGTGGTAACACCATTATCGATATACTATACCAGCAAAATTATTTATATATACACATGTGTGTATACAGTGAAACTTAATAAGTGTTTTCGTTTTCCTACTTTTGTGCACATTTAAGAAACTAACTGAAACTTTTTCAAAATTGTTTTGAACTTGTGTATCATCATGAAATTGTTTCCATAGCAACACAGTTAAAACTATAATACCATTATGTATGAATATGTTTCAAATTTTGATGATAACAATCATTTCTACAAATTGTATATTTATTTATTTTTTTCTGACTGCAGAATTAGGTTTTAAAACATTTTTTTTCAAAAATTTTCAAATTTTTTTTTCTGAAAAAATGAAAACTAAGCATTTTGTATCCATGGTAACAAAAAAATGAGACATACTTCCCCATTACTTTTTCGCATCATTGATAAGATAAGACTATGGTATTTATGAATTGATGGTTGACTTTAACTCAGGTGTCCGCAAAAAAATATGGTGAGCATTCAAAAATAACCTCAAAAGGGTATTTTTTACCTAATGCAAACCACATAAAAAGGGGGGTATATGTGATTATGATTGAAAATGAATATGAAAATATCAGTTATTAAATTACATTAATAAAATGCATATATTTAATAAAATCATAAAAAAAAATCTTTCTTTTAATCATTAATTATGAAAAATTATGTTGAAAATAGCCATTTTCAGCTTAAAATCATAGATATCCAGAAGAGGTAAAACTGGTCATCGGTTGCTATGGCAACCGATATGCTTAGCAACCAAAATTTTGCCATTTTTTGTTTGTTTCATCAAGACTAGTAAGTGTGTGAAGTTTGAAGAAAATCCATGACCATGCGTGCCACACTCCCTATATAAAAGTTTAAATAGTTACAGAGAACCAGTATTAATATACCATTCAAAAAGCAAGGTGCATCTGGTGAAAAGTAAAAGTCTGATATCTAAAACACACAACTTAACTGTATGATAGAGACAACAAAAATCATAACACTCAGATTGTATATATATATAAGCATTCAGTATTTGACAAAATCAGATCTATAAAAACTTTACAATGTAAAGTAACTAATTTGCATTTGTCTGTAGCAAATAATGCAGGAATAACTATTATAATATATGTTCACACCATTTTTGATGTCCAAATTAAAATGGACTAAATCATAATTACTGCTCAAATTATCAATTCTACTTGATAAATAAAAAGAGTTATGTTTAAGACTTTTGAATAAGTAAACTTTGCACATGCTTACATCCACAAATATTTCTGACTTATATTTCATCTGACAGCATAAGCCATGCTGTGAATTATGCTACAATAAACTTACAGAATTTTCAGTAACCTTCAATTAAAAGTGAATGCTTCAAACTTTACATTAATAACAACCATCAAAACAAAACAAATGATGAATGATGATTACATTGGGTTGAGAATGGTGTTTTCTTTTATATTCTTTCTGCTTTAGAAAAAAAATCAAGCAATACAGAAAAATGCTGACTTGCAATTAAAAAATTTCCATATACAGATTATAACAATGCAATTGTTTAGTTTTTTCGTAACTGCAACATAAGAGATCTACACATCATTCTTGAATCTGTGCATAAATGTGTTGACCTCCATCTTCTCCAGGTTGTTGCATCACATACTGTACAGTTCCGTCCTGGTCTACAATGGCATGGGTAGCATTTTCACCCGGTTCTGCCGTCTGTACAATAATGATGGTCTCCTGACCACCCTCTGTCTGTAGCGTAGTCAATGCCTGTCCAGCTAGGAGTTGTGCGGCATCGGTCACGTTACTGTATGTTCCATCAGCACTTGTTACTACATATGTAGTGTCCCCAGAAGGTTCACCTTCAAGATGTACATTCTCAATCTAAAAATAGAATTTGCATATTTAATTTTGCAAAATCTTTCTACCACTTTTTAAAAAAAAGTTTTTTTTTAGGTTTGTAGGGTTTTTGATTTTATCCTCAGAAGTAGATTTATTTTAGGTATTATTTATAATGTTTTGTTCTAATGGTCACATATTTACACTCTTAATATGTCACATTGTAATGATGTAATTTGAATCTGACATTTATCTAATTTGATGCTTTTCTTTATCTTTTGTATTTTTTATAGCTACATACATGACATACTGTAGATCTATTTGTTTTTGTGGGTTCCAATTTTCTCAGATTTAGGAATGGTTGTATTTTTGTGGATACCTGACTTTTTCGTTTTGCAAAAGTTTGCATACAAGCCTATAGGTAATCAGTCCTTCTTTGAACACATAAATTATTTGTTCGTAAACCTATTTCCACAAAATTTGGTACTCCACACAATAATTATGAATCCACAGTACCATAAATTCATTTTTTCGTATCATAAAGAAGCAATTTTCAGGAATTGTGGAAAACAAATCTTTTGTGCATAGTTGATTCGGTAGTGTAACTTTTTCTGTATAAAATAAAAAATAAAAGGTGTATTTTGTTGAACACATAGATCTATATTTGTGATTTATCTTTACCTAAGAATTCCATGAAAATAAGTCACATTAATAATAATGAATCCAAAAGATTAAAACAAAATTAATACAATAAAGTTCCACTGTGTAAATAATTTTTTATGAATATTGTTAGAATTGCAATTTGAGTTAAAGTAAAAATGAAGTTGAGTTTCACATTATATTTTTATTTGCCATGTTATACTTAAAAAGTAAAAAAAAAATATACTGTAACGGTAACCTAACTAATTTTCAAGACTTCATGAGCAAAAAAAAAAACGTGAATATAAACAGTCGCAAATATGTTAATTTGGGATCTTTCATTAGTTGAATACTTCCAAGTAATTTTGAAAATCGCTTAATTAAATCACAGGCAAGTTTGAAAGTAAGGACTATACGAGAAATAATGTTTCCGCAGAAAATAAGTTAGTTTACCAATGTTTACAGTATAAACCTTTGATAACTGTTACAATAATGGATTACAGATCATAATAAAGGCTTGTGACTTAATACAACAGAACATCAGATGTAACAAAAATAAATGTGAAAATGGCACTATTAGAAAATTGAATAAAATGCTCAGCAGGGCGCAGCTTGATACGACTGCAGAGGTCGAACCCTGAACAGTTGGGGGAAGTATGGACACAACATTCAAGCTTGATACAGCTTTGGATTTGGATTGTGATTAAATATTTGACACAGCATAGGTTTCTAACACAGATTGAATGTGGTCTAAGAACTTAAAAATTTTAAATTGGACATTCACCTATTATGGTCCAATATCCAAAATCTAAATACATGGTTAGATTCAGCATATCAAAGAACCCCAAGAATTCAATTTTTGATGAAATCAAACAAAGTTTAATTTTGGACCCTTTTGACCTCAATGTGGACAAAGTTGATAACGGGGCCCAAAAATCAAAAATCTAAATACATGGTTAGATTCAGCATATCAAAGAACCCCATATATTCAATTTTTGTTGAAATCAAACAAAGTTTAATTTTGGACCCCGATTTGGACCAACTTGAAAACTGGGCCCATAATCAAAAAATCTAAATACATGTTTAGATTCAGCATATCAAAGAACCCTAAGATTTCAATTTTTGTTAAAATCAAACTAAGTTTAATTTTGGACCCTTTGGACCTTAATGTAGACCAATTTGAAAACGGAACCAAAAATTAAGAATCTAAATACACGGTTAGATTCGGCATATCAAAGAACCCCAATAATTCAATTTTTGATGAAATCAAACAAAGTTTAATTTTGGACCCTTTTGACCTCAATGTGGACAAAGTTGATAACGGGGCCCAAAAATCAAAAATCTAAATACATGGTTAGATTCAGCATATCAAAGAACCCCATATATTCAATTTTTGTTGAAATCAAACAAAGTTTAATTTTGGACCCTGATTTGGACCAACTTGAAAACTGGGCCCATAATCAAAAATCTAAATACATGTTTAGATTCAGCATATCAAAGAACCCTAAGAATTCAATTTTTGTTAAAATCAAACTAAGTTTAATTTTGGACCCTTTGGACCTTAATGTAGACCAATTTGAAAACGGAACCAAAATTTAAGAATCTAAATACACAGTTAGATTCGGCATATCAAAGAACCCCAATAATTCAATTTTTGATGAAATCAAACAAAGTTTAATTTTGGACCCTTTGGACCTCAATGTGGACCAATTTAAAAACGGGGCCCAAAATCCAAAAACTAAATACACGATTAGATTCAGCATATTAAAGAACCCCATGAAATCAAGAATAAAACCCCATTGAAATTGGTCAAGAAATAAGTAATTTATAGGAAGTATCTTCTTTTGCACAATCCTGTGCTATTAAATATTTCTTGCTATTGCGCAATACTGTACAATTGACAATTTCTTGCTATTGCGCAATATTGTGCTATTGGATATTTCTTGCTATTGCACAATACTGTGCAATTGAAGATTTCTTGCTATTGCGCAATACTGTGCAATTGAAGATTTCTTGCTATTGTGCAATACTGTGCAATTGAAAATTTCTTGCTATTGCACAATACTTATTATATAATAATTTACACATCCTGTTTGGTGTGTATCTCCTACCATATCATTATTATTTGATTTTAAATATAAATCAGAAATAACCAATTTAAAATGGAAAATTTTAAAAGAAACAAAAAAGGAAAAAAAGAAAAAAAAGGAAAAAAAAATAAATCCCCCCCCAAAATTTTTTGAACCCCCATTATGATTCATCACCCCCAAACTCAATCCCAGCCTTCCCTTTGTGGTATGGTACCTTGCAGTACAATTTCAGAGAGATCCATACACTTGAACACAAGTTATTGTCTGGAAACTAGAAAAAAATGTGTTTTTTGGCCCCTTTTTGGCCCCAAATTCCTAAACGTTTAGGGCAATTACCCCCAAACTCAAACCCAGCTTTCCCTTTGTGATATGGAACCTTGTAGTACAATTTCAGAAAGATCCATACACTTACACACAAGTTATTGTCATGAAACTAGAAAAATGCTTGTTTTTTGCCCCTTTTTTGGCCCCTAATTCCTAAAATTTGGAGGCAATTACCCCCAAAATCAATCCCAGCATTCCTTTAGTGATATGGAACCTTGTGGTACAATGTCAGAGAGATCCATACACTAACACACAAGTTATGTCTGGAAGTTACAAAAATGCTTATTTTTGGCCCCTTTTTGGCCCCTAATTCCTTTACTGTTATTACCATAACCCCCAAAATCAATCCCAACCTTCCTTTTGTGGTATTGAACCTTGTGGTAAAATTTCATAAAGATCCATTCACTTAAACTAAAGTTAGAGTGCGAAAACCAATGTGTCTTCGGACGACGCCGGACGACGACGACGCCAACGTCATACCAATATACGACCACAAAAATTTTTTTGCGGTCGTATAAAAATTAATAAACTTAATCTTTAATTTTTGTTGTTGAAACTCTTGATACTAAATTCTAAACCTTACCTCTGCTACTTCTCCTTCTTCATATTCCTCTCCCTCTGCCTCAATGTCCTCATCGTTGTCAGCATGTAGATCATACTTCCTAATGATGGCTTGGGCTGCCTCTCCAGCAGTCACATGGATCCTACCAATATGCTCCAGCAGTAGTTTCTTCCTCTTAAACTGTTCGTGGCACATGTCACACTGGTAAGGTGACAATTTCTTGTGGACCAATTGGATGTGGGACATCAGATTTGATTTATTATTGAAGCAGCGGCCACAGTCGTTACATTTATGCGGCTTTTCACCAGTATGAATCAACATATGTCTGTCGACGTGGTATTTCTTGGTGAAACGTTTCTCACACACTGAACAAATGAAGATTTTCTGATTAGGTGACTTCCATCCTTCATGCACACGTTTTGTGTGCCCAATCAGAGCTCCCAATGTTTTAAATGCAGCCTTGCAGGTATTGCAAAGATATTGCCTAGTGTGGAGATGCATTCCTTTAATATGGGTATTAAGATTGCCACGGAAAGCTGATGCATAGTCACAGTGTGGACATTTGTATGGTTTCCTACCAGAGTGGACAGTTCTCATGTGAGAGCTCATACCAGTTTTCAGAACAACTTTCCCACAAATTGGACAAGGAATTTGCATCCTGTTTTGCTGATGAAGTTCCTGGTGACGTTTCATATTCTTTGTAGTCTTCCCACACTCCTGACATTGCTCCCCTTCCTCTTCTGGTCCCTGGGTTGACACTTTCATTATCTTTTCTCTCCATTTTGCATTTCTCATTTCCTCTTCATAATCCATTTCATCTCTGTGTTTACCTTTTATATGCTTGACCAGACCAATAAATGCTTTGTCACAGAAGGGACAATTGAGAGCCTCCTCAGTGTTACGGATTGTTCTACGCTTGGGTTCCATATCCTCAAATAAGGCCACCTCATCACTTCTTCGCTTTTTTCTCCCACTCCCATCATCCTCCTCCTCAGCAAAACCAAAATCATCTTGACCTAATGGTCCAAATTTCTTTTTCTTAAGTTTTGGATCTGTCTGGGTTAGCACAGATCTTCTTTCCGGGGTTTCAATGACAGTCTCAACTTCAACAAATGGGATCTCAACTTCTGATGTGCTGGGTTCCTGATCAACTTGTTCTATGTTATAAACATCTCCCTCTACATTTTCATGAACAATAAGCGTGTGTGGTCTATTAGATCCTGACACAGCAGAAATAGTAATATTGGGTAATACCTGTGATAACAGATCTTCATGAGGTTCCTCTTTTACGATCATTCTATCATTAGGTCCAGCTGAGGAGTCAGTCATTACTGGTGGAGAAGCCTTTGGTTTTTTCTTAACGGGTAAATCTGTTGGTGTGGTTTCTACCGATTCTTCAACTGGTCTTGCTCGTTTTTTCGATGGAGTTGCTGGGACAGTTTCTTCAGCTTCATTTGTTTCGTTAGTACCAGTTATATCCTTTGGAGAGTCAGCAGATTTTGGAGGGCGTCCACGTTTTTTCTTTTGTTCTGGTTCAGGAGTTTCCTCTGCCTCCATGTCTTCTTCAGCTTTTACTTCTTCATCACCCACAGTTTCTTCAACTACCTCTTTTTTTGGTCTACCTCGTCCTTTTTTGGGAGTGTCTGTAGGTGTCTCATCTTTCTTTTTGCCACGTTTCTTTCCCTCATCTGGTGGAGTATCTGCACCTTTTTTCTTTCCAGATTTTACTGCTTCTTCTTCATCATCATTATCCCCTTGTTTAGTTTTTCCTTTTTTACTTGGAGTCTTAACTTTCAATCTGACAACAGGAGTAGAACTTTCCGACTTAGATGGTCTTCCTCTGCCTCTTCCCTTCTTTGGTTCAGGGGTGGCTTCTTGTTCCTCCTCTCCAGATTCTGCCTCAGATTCAGCTTCTTCCTCCTCTTCCTGTTCAACTTCCTTTTCTTTTGACTCTTTCCTTGGTCGACCTCTACCTTTTGATTTTGTCTCAGGGGTCTCAGTATCTTTTTCCTTTGCAGCCTTCCCTTTTTTAGATTTAGTGTCTGGGGTTTCTGCAGTTTTATCATCAGATACCTCTTTAGGAGCTCTTAGACTTCTACGTGTTGGTCTCACCTCTGAAACAGTTCCACTTTCACTTGATTTGGAATCCTTTCTTTGTCTTTTCTCTGGTGTAGAAGCAGATGCATCATCTGTTGTCTGTCTAGCTGGTCTTCCTCTTTTCTTTGGCGTAGCTTCTTCTTTTTCCTCAGAATTATATATAGTTACAGTTACTGTTACTTCCCCTTCTTCATTGAGAGTTGACTCAATCTGAGGTTGTGAGGTCTCAGTTGTGTCTTCCATTGCGGCTTCGTCCTCCTGATTTTTTGTTGTTTCTACTGGTAAAGATTCCTGTTCAACTAAATTTTCTTCTGTCTGGTCTACCTGGTTTTCTTCAAGGGGAGTAAAACTTTCAGGGACAATGACTGGTTCCTCAACTGGTGTCTGAACTTCATTTTGTTCCTCTGCAGAAACCACATCAGATTTGGCAGAAGTTACTTCTACTGACCCTATTTCCTCCTCTAAAGGAGTGAAATTTTCTGGGACTATAACTGGTTCATCAACGGTCGGTGGTTGGACATCAGTGACTATAGGACTACCTGTTTCTATTACTACTTGAACTTCTTGGGGCTAAAATATAAAAATAAGGTACATTTTATTATCAAAACATTATGTTTTAGGGGTATTAAATTAAAATCAAAAAGACTGAATGAATATTTTTAAATTCATAACTACTTCTTTCAAATTATGAACATATTGACTTGGCCATGAACTTTCCACTTCTGCATAGGATTATTTAATCCGTTATTTACCAATGCTTAGCATCCACAGGTGAATAGTCTGTAAGTGTGTTACTTCTGAAGACATGTACATTTTAGACTTTTATGCTCGATAGTTTCAGATATTTAAATGACGAGCAGGTTTCCTCTGAGTTATTTATTTTTTTTCATCAAAGAGATTATTTATTAGCAACATGAATATGTTCTCACCAAATAAAAAAGCATCACTAAAAACTATTTATTTTAAACTGAATTTTATTGATGTGATAACAATAAACTCATCATAAATACCACGATTAAAATTTTGATACTCCAGATTCGCGTTTCTTCTACAAAAGACTCATCAGTGACGCTCGAATCAATAAAGTTAAAAAGGTCAAATAAAGTAAGAAGTAAATGAGCCTTGAGTATGTTACACTTCATACTGTTTTAAGACTTTTGTCACAGTCAATTTGTAAACCATAAGTCCTGACTTTGTACCCATTTTTTGCTTGTTAAAATTCAGTTTTGGAATTGTAATTCATTTTTCTATTGAATGTGATTTTCTGAATTCATATAGAAAGACTAAGATACATGTATCAGACAGTTCATTGAGTTCAAGCTTTCTTGGGTGTTATTATTGCAACATTGTAGTGTCCTGTAAAAGGTCTACAGATTTCAAAACTAAAGTTTTGAAGAACTGTCCCTATTTATATCTTAATTTATACAAAACATGCTGTCAATTGCTGTTAATAGTACAGACATTTTCTCCCCAATTTAAAGAAATGTATAAAAACCACTACTTTAGTAATATTTCTACTTTGTATAATTAATGTCATTTAATAAGTTCTTCAGGTAACAGTAGGGAGCCATTTAACAGATCCCAGGTACAGGAAACGGTAATCTAATTGCTTGATTGGAAATTACCGGTAGCCATCTCATTATTGATTTTCTGTCATTTTCAAATTACTTGACATGCTAAACTTTGTTATTGGTTAATTCCTGAGAACCATTTATCATTTTTGTTTCAAAATTTTGTTGAAATCTAAATGTTGACAAAATGAAAATTGCAACCTCAGTGAGGAAAAACCAGAAACAGCTTTTCAACCAATTATTTCGCCAGTTATGAATTTTTGGAAAGCCAGCAGAAACCCTTAATTTGAAAGCATTTGTGTATGTTACAATTTTTGCTTAACATTGTTACTTATTTTTCAGTGTCTTTATGAATAAAAGGTTTAAGGATGCACTTAGGACAGGTTTAGGAATTTTTGTCAGATGTTAGGACTCCTTGGTTTTTTTCCTATGATACAGGGTAAAATATTTTGCCCTATAACACCCATTTTTCTCTTCAATAGCTCATAAAAGGTCATTTACCAAAATTTAAGCAGATTCTAGATATCTTTCCTTTTGATTTGAGACCCAATTAATATCAATAAAAATACAAGTAAAACTGTGAGCAGTAGCTCACTGATGATACCCCCCGCTGAAATATTTCTGTAAACAGGAAGTTGTTGAGTGATGAATCTGATAACGCATCACACGGTGTAACTTACTTATATAAACCCTGAAACCAAATTTCAGAAATTCTTGTCAAGTAGTTCCTGAGAAAAATGTGACGAAAGTTTTCAACTTGGCTATCATGTGTAAAATAATACAAGTGTTCGGTAAACAGGAAGTTGTTGAGTGAAGAATCTGATAACGCATCACACGGTGTAACTTACTTATATAAACCCTAAAAACGAATTCAGAAATCCTTGTCAAGTAGTTCCTGAGAAAAATGTGACGAAAATTTTCAACTTGGCTATCATGTGTAAAATAATACAAGTGTCCGGTAAACAGGAAGTTGTTGAGTGATGAATCTGATAACGTATCACACGGTGTAACTTACTTACATAAACCCTGAAACCAAATTTCAGAAATCCTTGTCTAGTAGTTCCTGAGAAAAATGCGACAAAAATATTCATGGGACGGACGGACGAACAGACAGAGGTAAAACAGTATAACCCCCTTTTTTAAAGCGGGGGTATAATAAGGTAAAAGTCTGAGTCAGCCTTTTCCAGCCATTTTAAAAAAAATTAAATATCTCGAAAATTAGCTCCATAACCTATCAATATTTTTAGCTTATTTTGTTCCTTAACTTCTTATCTACCACAGGTACCTTTACAGTTCACTACTACACACTGCTGATTAGTTAGCTACTGCATCTGAATTGTAGGTTAACTACCAGAGATAATTTGCAGTGAGAGAATTTTTCACAAATTGTTATGACTGTGTTATGAGTTCTCTAATTAAATGTTCATTTAATTAGTATTTATTGTATATTAATTGAAAAATAAAACAAATACAAAATCGATTGCCTTCTTTTCCTTATCAAGCTTGAAAGCTGCCGTAAATGGACGTAAAAATTATTTGTCCATGTTTGGTTTCTTCATCCTCGGTAGACTCCCAATCTGGTTCCGACAAACTAAACTATCCCTTCCTATACTTTTAACTTTGCTTTCTAATTGCATAAATCCTTCAAATTCTTCACTTTTGCTATCCAATTTGAACAAAGAAGCTCATTTATCCGCCATTGTTTAAATCGCATTCCGAAATAGTGTAAAATTCATCATAGTTAAATGTAAACACACACCTTTTAATGAAAAGGAATGTACGAGTTGAAAGGTTATTCATTTCTAAAACCAAATTTCATTGCTTCATTTCGGGATTCCCCAACAGTTTTGTCCAATCTAAAGGGTTTTAACAGTGGTATATTTTACGGAAATATCTGTCACCGGGACTGCGCAAGTGTATGTTTACAGCGGATCTATCAGTCACTGGAAATACACGCTTGATTATGCAAGCAGATTTATCAGTCACTGCGGACAGAACAATGATAAAAAACGTGTATATATCCGTCAGTGGTAGATAAAGAGTGTATATATCCGTCAGTGGTAGATAAAGAGTTAACTAATGCTCTTCTGACTTATGATATCAATTTTTAATTTCACCTAAGTACATCCTTAAAAATCAGGAAGAATAAAAAAAAAAGTCATATTGTTGGTGGCAAGATTCACATCTTTTATTTAAATATAAAATTAAATCAGCAACCTTTGCAAAAATGACAATATATGTACCTATATTGTATACAGCTTTATGATTAAAGATTTTATTCTGAAAACCCATAATATTTATCCATAATGAGCTATCAGTGATATGTTTGTGTATTACCTGGGCTTCAGATACTACTTCTGTATTTCCATCAAAAAAGTTAGCTGGCAAACTGTTATCTGCTAAATATAAAATAAGTTAAAAAATTTAAAAAATGAAAACATACAAAAAAAAAAAAAAAAAAACTTTCATTATTATATTACACATAGTCAGTCATGTGACGAAAAAAGACGCAACAAATATTTTAATGAAACGTCACAAAAAAGATTAAAATCTCCAATATTGACATATCGTCAACAGGCTTTCATCTCATCTTATTCTTTGAAAAATCAAATAGCAACGTAAATATGTGTGAACAGATGAAACATGTTAAATTATAACAATATGGGGAATCTACATCATGCTTTATCAACAGAGAGACAAAAATTTTTTTTTATTCGATAAAAGATCACAGGAATGAAGGTTTCATTTTCAACATAAATTCACAGTTATGATATTACTGACAGCTAGCAAAGACAGACAAGGGTCTAACTTAAACAAGTTATTACAGAAAATAACAGGCATACTGTTATTCTGGGAATTCTGAGAGAGTTATCTCCTCCTGTCATGAATTGTGTTGATTGATTGATTGTTGTTTAATGCCACTTTCAACACTAATGTGCTACTTCGTGGTGGTCAGTTTTTATTTATGGAGGAAGCCGGAGTGCCCAGAGAGTACCACGACCTTCGGTAGGAAAACTGACAATCCTAGTCAATTAAGATTGGAGTCGAGTGCACCTGCCCCGTGCGTGATTCAAACTCACAACCTAAGTGTTGACTGGTTAGTGATACAGTCGTTCGACTACTTAGACCACTCGGCCACTGAGGCCCCTGAATTGTGTTGAAATAACACATGTCTGTTATTGTACAAAATGCCAATGTCTGAAATAACGACTTTCAGTTATCACAGACATTTTCGTCGGGTGAAACGTAAATCAGATACTTTCAAATTTACCACTTTTTGTTTTGTTGTTAAGATCTTGTCATTTCAACATGTTTACATTATACGCGCCATTTTCGGTGAAACAACGTGGGCACAGTGATTACCAGTTTGTTGTATTTCAATGATAACTTCGTCTTAAATATTTTTGTTTTAGCAGAATTAATTTAATATTTTCACGTATTTGGGATTATTTTAGCAATTTGTCAATGATAACTCTGTCAGAATTCCCACAATAACAGTATGTCTATTATTTTCTGTAATAACTTGTTTAAGTTAGACCCTTAACTGAAAGAATTCACCTTAAACCTACATGCATGCTACGAATCCCCTTAAACTTACAGTCCAGTTTGAGCTTTTGTTCCCTATTTGAAAATTGGTTTCAAGGATTTTAGTATCATGAATTATACACCAAATAACTTCTTTTCCATTATATATTTACTGCCACATCAAGAAGCAATGAATGCTTCACAGAAATTTTAAAATCAGAAAAAAAAAATTTTGTAAGTGTTTGTACTAATTTCAAGTTGGCTGAAACACCAATATTATTAGATAAACTGTTAACACAGAGATATGTCACGTCTATTTGTTATTTTGATAATGCAAATGTTGAAATTAAAATAGCAATACTTTAACATGTAAGTTATGCAAATATTCAAAGTCAATGAACCATGACTGAAGGTACAGGGCTAAACAATCTACATGGAAATGAGATGTGCCAATGCTAATACAACTGCAAACCAAATACCATTGACTTTTCATAAGTCTTTCCTTATAAACAAACCTAAACACAAACATTAACTTGTAAACTATGTAAAAGTTTCAAAGTCAATGAACCATAATTAGGGGGTGGGGTTATATAATCTCCATGGAAATAAAACTTGCAAATGCCAATACATTTGCATACACATTTGCATACCGAATATCATTGACTCAACATTAGTGGTTCATCTTAAACTGACCTAATCACAAACTAATACATGTAAACTAAGCAAAAGTTTCAAAGTCAATAGACCATAACTGAGGGGTAAGGACCAAATATTCTACATGGAAATGATATGTACTAATGCTTATACAACTGCATACCAATTATCATTGACCTACCACTAACGGTTCCCCTTAAACTGACCTAATCACAAACTAATACATGAAAACTAAGCAAAAACTTCAAAGTCAATAGACCTTGACTGAGGGGGCGGGGCCATATAATCTCCATGGTAATGAGATGTGCCAATGCTAATACAACTGCATACCAAATATCATTGACTTACCACTAGTGGTTCACCATGAACTAGACCTAATCACCAACTAATACATTGTTGACGCCGCCTCCACCGCCGGAACAGCATACCTTTGCCACGCTTTTTGACTCCATCAAGGCGAGACAAAAACCAATAAATCATTTCTTAACAATAAAATTTGCCTTAAACATTTTTAATATGAGATGTTTAATATGAGATAAAAAGACATAAATTGTGGAATATTACCAGTTTTATCATCTACTGCAGGCTGTTGTACATTTTCTACTTGATCTGGTAATTCTTCTTCTGCATTCAACATGGCCGTTGCCTCTGCCTCAGCTACTTGGGACACTTCACTGATCTTTTCTAATACCTCTTCTACTAAAAAAATTTAGAAGGCATTGTTGATAATTATACAACAAGAGATCTGATATTAATGCATAACTTACATTTTAAATATCTTGCAAAATTTTCAAAAACAAAATCTTCATGTACAGGTAAGTACTGCTTTTTCCAATATTCTCACCTACATGACATAAATCTTATTCCAGACCAGTTTACCCTATGTTTTTTTTTGTCAGTATTCTTGTCGTTGACTTTCTTGTCAGTAAAATAGTGTTCAAATCCTGAAAATATGCCATGATTATGATGAAAACTATAAGCAATTTGTTGTCAACCATACTACTAAAGATGCTTTCCCGTCTAGTACATGTAGTATCAATCAAATCATTATTCATAAACATGCTACAAAAATATAAAATATTCAGAAAAGCATGATTATAAATCAATTCAAGAATCTAGGTTTTAAATACAAACTCGTAAATACATTACAATGAATTTTTAGACATATTTTCCCAAAAATTTCTAGAGAAGAATCTAAATGAAAAGACCTGAACTTTATACATGTTTCTACCTGATGCTTCATTTTCATTAGTTTTTTGCTCAGCCATGATTTCAACAGGCATATCGCTAGTCTTCTGTTCAGCCATAATGTTAACAGGCATAACACTAGGCAAGGACTCCATGCTGTATCCACCGTTAGCCTGAGGGGCTGGATCAGCTTGGGGATACACTCCTTCTAGTGTCTCTACTACCTGCAATGATACATATTTTATTAACAAGTGATTGATATTGAAAATTAATGTGCATAATGCTGATATTTTTGGAAGCAGAATATTTAAATGTACAGTACTATGATAGTGAACATTTCCCATTACTGACAGCTAATACTGTGTTAGTTATTGTTACACGTTACATGTAGCAGAGATTTTACCTTGGGTACAGGTATTGAAAATATCTCTAAGTGTTCCTTACTACTAGATTAGTAGTTTTAGTGTTTAAAATGAAAAGCCTGACAGGATAACACAAAATTACATGTTGTCCAGTCATTTTTGCAATATCGGCATTACCCTGTAATAAACATAGCCACTTTTATGACAGTATTAGTTGAATACCAATTTCAGTAGATTTCAGGGGTACAGGTGTACCACAAGTTTAAGTGTTCAACGAATTACAAATTTTCTATAGGCTTTTTAGTTTTTAGTGTGAAGGGTTTTACATTTGTCATTTGGGGGTCTTTTATAGCTGACTATGTGGTATTGGTTTTGCTCATTATTGATGGCCTTATGGTGACCATAGTTGTTAACTTCTATGTCATTTGGTCTCTGGTGGAGAGTCGTCTCATTGGCAATTATACCACATCTTTTTATTTTCATTTGTATGCAGACTTTGGCATAATCACAAAATCAAATAGACAAAAGTGGGTCTAGTATCCGCTCAACCCTATCTGTCCATCCGAAAGAAAACGTGTCGAGGATTTTTAGGTTCTATAGATGAAAAGGAATGATTTAATATTTGGTGTACAGCTTTTGTTTTGTAGCGAGTAAGCAGTTTTTACATCTGCCATGTGTCCACTTCCTGTTTGAAGATAGTTTAAAATTTTACAACACTCATTGTACAAGGAAACTATTCGTCAAAGTTTTCTCGACTACATATACAGTGAAAAGGATTGATCAGTTATAATCCTGATTATATGTTACCTTAATCAATTGCACGCAGTGACTCAGTCCACACCCAGTATTGACCTCATTAAAATTAAATTTGAAAAATATAAACTAAGAAGCATATATCAGTGTGTATATCATGCATATATATATGTATATACAGTGTATCTGAACTGCAGAACCATAAACAAACCTGAGTTTCTGATAGTTTAACTAAGTCTCCAACATCACCAATGACAATTCCATCTCCTCCCCCACCTCCTTCTGCCACCTGCTGTAAAGCATCATCTGTATCCATGGTAACCAGTATACACACTGAAAAAAACATTTTTAAATCACAAGAATTTCATGAGGAGATATTATCAAGATATCTAGTTTCTCTATACATGCTATGAGTGTTACTTCAAAACTTTTCCATGCTTGTGCAAAATTAAATAATTTTAAATTTGGGAAAAGACAGATCTAAGAAATTGAATTTAAGATGTGAAAAATTGTTTTAAAATACATGTTTTCCGATCCCTAATTTCTTAATTTGAGTACAAGTTATTTAATTATCATGTTTATATCAGACTAACTTGTACCATGATACATATATGTTTAAATTTGGTTTGTCAGCATGACGACCAAGGGAAATAACTCTCAACTCAAATTAAGTCAACAGAAAACTATCTTTTTAAGGACTTTTTTGTACAGAAATATAGCTTTCTACCACTAAATCAAATAAATTATTATATAGACAAGTTCTTTTTCTGCATAGTCAGCATAATAGGAGCTTCAGTACTGAGTAGGGTCACAATGTCAATTTTAAAAATTGCCACAGGTCAAACAGTCACTTTTAAGCAAATTTGACCATGTTGAAGTCAATTACTGTACATTTTATTGTAACTTGCATTAAATATCTCAGTTAAGAAGTTGCGGGTATAACACTTATTCCAGTATGATAAGGGATTGATTGATGATTACTGGAGTTAAATACCACTTTCACTCTAGGCTAAATCACTAAAGCAAGTAGTTGGTGGCAGAAGCCTATATACAATGTACAGCCGAACACACCTCGACATAAACAGGCTTCAAACTCAACCCCTAGTGTTGATTGGCTAGGGATCACTATTGATGAACAAATTAGACCACTTTTAAGAAGGGAGTTTCATAAACAAATACAAACAGAACAGTAGCTTTGATTCTTTTCATTGAACAGGATAATACACACCATGCTTACATTTTGTAAATATACTGTTTCAAGACATTGTTCTCCTCGTTTTAAATTTTTGAAATCAGAATGATATTGCATAAACATTTTGCAGTGGCATGCACGAGGGTCTGGGTGGGGTTTACAGAATTGAGAGTAATGTCCAAAAAATATAATGATTCTACTAAAAAGAAAAAATGAGCCAATGAAATAAAGAATACAGAATAATGGGCTGCAAAAGAATAACTGTTGAAAATAAAAGAATTAGGAAAAATAATACTGATTACAGAAATGAATGATGTACAGAAGAAAGAATTCATAAGATTATAATTAAATTTAATAATAAAATCATTTTCATGACAATTTTACAGACTAAGAGTATTCTTTAAAGACAAAGAAAAATGTCCCAAAAAATTAAAAAATACAGAAATGAAGGACCACCCATCCAAACCCTCATACATACTTCCCTGAATCCACCAGCAGATTCAAGTACCAAGACACATTTAAATAGGCACTTGCATGTTTTAAGAATAAACCAGGCTTATTACATTTTTAAGGGGAATATCTAAAAAAAATACAGGGTTATTTAAAGATCTGAACCCTGATCCTGCACCCAGAAAATATTACAAAGAACTGTTAAAAAAACTACTTGCAGAAACAAAGAGTACACATTTAAAGGATAAAAAAAACTGGCATGAAGAGACAAGTTTACAGAACGTTTTGACCTCAGGGCAGGATTTGCAGGGCATGGCTACATACACCTATTTATCGTTCAGAGCTCCAGATAAGCTGCGTATTTGCGTGATCACGCAATAAAAATAATTAAAAACCCAATGCAATTGCCCATTGCAGGGTTCAATAACCCAATTAATTCAAAGGAAAACCCAATTATATGCCAAAAACATGGGTTCTTAACGCTTTTATTCGCTATCGTTTGCGTTATTTACCCTTACTTGATTACAGTCGTCGCGTAAATCTATTTTTATAATATTTATAATTGGAAATGTCCTTTCGTTCTAAAAATAGAGCCCTGCATCAAGTAGCTGTAATGGGTCCTTGTTTGAATTTTCCGTTGCTCAAAAGGTACACGTGTTTATGAAAACATTTCGATCTTCTCTTGTTTATCCAATTAGCGTGTGACATGCTGTCATATTTTTTCGAATTGCTCGGGATTTATCATAACATACAATGAATTAAAACGAAAATAAATGTCCGGTAAAAATATTGAATAGAAGCATGTTTTCGGCTTCTTTTTGATAGCTGAGGGAAAGTTATGATGATAAGAAGACTCAGCTAGTGATTTTAGGAAGCGGCCATTGAACGCACGGGCGTGTTTGCGTACCATAACGAGAACATTGCTAGAGCGATAAACACGGGGTACCGTCAAAAACGAAATCAGTTGGAAAAAGTGAAAGGCCAAATCAATTATGACATGATATGTAGTTTAAAGCATCGGAAACCAAAAGTTCTGATAAGGGACAACTTAACCCAGATTTATGTAAATTGAATTAAATGAAAACAGTTTATATATTATTTTTTTCATTTTAGTTGATGAGTGAATACACATATCCGTTTTTTACGTCAATGCAGCTTGACACTTTCTTTGTTTTGGTCTAATTGTTCTAGATGCTCAAGATAGTTGTCTTATTGGCAAGTGCAGTATAACATTGTCATTTATTTACTTGATGTTGCAGAATTATTTGTAAATTTAAGTTGAATGTGGTCTCCGTCATTATAAACCACCCTATAAACCTCAAGGTTTTGGGGTATATCTTAAATCTGGAAACTACTTTTTATTTTTATTAAAAAGTAGATCTGGCAAATAGGTGAAAGGACTGGCAAAACTTTCTTACAGCACCTAAATTTCACATATATTACACAAAAATCTAAACACTTAGCCACACCTACACCAACTATAATTAAACTGTAGGGTGATCATATGGGATCTAGAAAGGCAATTAGTTCCTGTCCAACTAGTGACACCAGCTGCAGTTTACATAAGTTTTGAGAAAATACAAAACTGACAGAACGTTTAAAACGGGACACAAATTAAATGTACAATTGCTCGTCAGTGAATAAACCAAATAAAACAGCTAGCACATATTCTACAAAGAAAGAAACACATTTAAGATGGAAACACATCTGGGGTTGATATAATGTGATTATAACATGCCTAAATATTCAATATTGTGTTGATGAAAAAAACCCAATACATTAAGGAGCTTGGTGGTGAAAAACCCAATTTGATATTTGCTTGAGGGGTGAATTGGAATTGATAATGCAATTAAAAAACTTTATCACCCAATTACATAAAAAAATGGTGGGTAAAAACCCCAATTTGTGAATTCTTATCTGGAGCTCTGATCGTTATTTGTCCACAATTACTGGCCATCACAGATGTTCCAGTAAAATTTTGACACCATAAGAGAAAATGTCCAAAACAACAATACACCTTATCGCTATTCCCGTTTGACCCGAGAATCTGTCCCTCTCAAACTTTTGACGTCACACAACAATCACTTTTCCATTGTGGCGTCAGATATTTTCTATTATGACGTCAAAATTTAACGGGAACTTGTGTGATGTCCAGTAATGGCGGACAAATAGCGATAAGGTGTATTCAAAAGTGATTGTTGTATAATGTCAATACTTCAAGTGTTGGGTATTCTGAAATAGTGATATAAGGTCTTTACTGCCCTGGACCCGAGAGAATTCAAAATGCCAAGGCAAATTTAAGTTTCTTAGAGTGAATACAAGCTAGATCATTTTTGGCTTCACTTTGCTATGGACACTATCTAATGATTTAAAGAAGACATGAACTCTTGACCCTCAATAAATGATATATACTCTTTACATTTTTCATTTCTGTGAATTGGTTATATACATGTTTTTATTTAGTTCTTTGTTATGTATGATATATCAAGCTTTAATTATAATAAGCTGATGATTTTACATTAAAATTATGGATCTTGTCTGGTGACGAAAACACTGCATAAATTTCCACTCCGCCATTTTGAATTTCTTAAGATCAGGAAGGGTTTCGTCGGTTACAAGGCCAGAATGTCATATGCCTGTAATTTTATCGGTTGGCATTCAGCCGTTATACAATGTAATGTCTCAAGTTTATCGAGTTGGCATTGCGGGGTCGCAAACAGGGAAAATTGTCGCCCTTGTCCGGTTTCTAAAGGGCAGTAATCACAAAGGCCATTTTTCTGCTTCACTTTGTGGTTATCGCCCGTTAAAAGAGAATTCATCGGAAAATCCTATTTAAATTGTTATAAAAAATGTGACAGTTGCTTCTGAGGATACCTACCAATACAAAGTTAACCACTAAATGTTCTAATTAAAAGAAAAATATGAATTTCTTCCCCAGTATCTCATCAACAGTAAAGTTGACGCACGCCGTCCCAGATTTTACCCATGATCCTTCATTCTATCCATGTGACCAAGTCGCGGGAATTTCAATTTTGCGCTGTCTTCGTATTTAAAAGTTAGAATTTTTGTATCTCATTAAAGATTCAAAATCAAATAAATAACCGCATTACAAATAAACAATCATAAATACCAAAACATTTGTATTTCCCCATTCAAATATATGTAGAACATGTGCACATTTTTTTCAAAATTATCAACCGTATGTGACTGCACTGGGACTAGTCTGAGACTACTATACTAAAAAATCCCAGAATGTGTCAGTTCGAAAATACACCAACTTCGTATATATGGTATATATATATAAAAATTGAACGATTTTAAAAACATAATAAATTGATATGTTTTCCAAACAAAAAAGGGGGCGTACGCCCTCTACGTCCCTGTTATCGTTCCGAAAATGGAACTTCGTATATGGTATATAATATATATATATATAAATTGAACGATTTTAAACATATTAATTGATATGTTTTCCAAACAAAAAAGGGGGCGTACCTATGCCCCCTGAACCCGCCACTCACGGATAACAGCGACATATATACATATGGAGGGGGATACATGTATTTTAGCAAAAGTCATAAGTTCAATCAACTTATAAAGCTGTTGAAAATAAAAGAGACTATATCAATTTAAATGGAGCAGTTTAAGAATTTATGTCTGAAAATTTTCAAAAAGTTTTTATAGTTTTCAGAATTAAAATTTTTAGCAACGGCATCCATCTTGTTAGGCTGGCAAAGATCGTTATACTAAAAAAAACACACTTTTAATGGATAATTTCACAAAAGTTCGTTAGAATGAATGACAGTTTGATATACTTTATATGTGATTAACTAAAAAAATAAAATTCAATTTGCAATTAAGTGAGCATGCAGACAGGAAGAAAAGCTGGGCTCTTCGAGCTTTTCTTTTCAAGTGGTTCCTGTAGATAGTAAGCCAGTTATTCCCAACGCAGTATTAGTATGAGTTGTTGGGTATACAGTACTGTAGTCTAAATATTCATATATCAACCATGGGATCAGGTATGGGCTGCTATATCTATGAAATACAGGAAATGCATAATGGTTTACTTTTATAAATTTTGACTTGGATGAAGAGTTGTCTCATTTGCACTCATACCACATCTTCTTATATATATGTCCATCCTGTTACCGATACTAGATCGACCGTTAACTATGATTGTTTCTCCCTATGAATATAGAGTAATTCAGTGATGATTTCAAAAGCATAAAGCATCCACAGCACGTTTCTTGCATAACAGTGTAGAGAAAAGAAAATTCAAGACATTTAGTGCATGGAAAAAAATAGTGGGTACCCTTTTATCATGTCAATGCTATACCAAGTCTTGTAAAAATTTAAGTGCGATTACGTGTTGGAAGCAAAAAACACAGTAGACAGTCAGGGATAACATGGTAAACCATGACCAATGAAAGTGATAGTTTTCCATGACCCATTATAAATACAAAGTCATGGAAAACCATGACTATGAACTATATTTAGGGTCAAGGTAGTAATTAGTTTTAAAAACTAATACAAAAGTCATGGCAATCCATGACCCTTTTATTTTTTTCAGTAGTCATGGAAATCCATGACTAATGAAATGAAGCAAGGTCATGAGTTTTCATGACTGTTGAACTCCTCAATTACACAAATTGACCTTGCAAATGTCATTAAGCACTTAATTGCAACAACAATAATAAGCATGCAAAATAAATAACAAAAATAAATTGCGCCGTAAGACCATGATACGCCCTTCCCAAGAATGGAGATGCTATGAAAATGTCAATAATAACTCTTTTTTTCATGTTTGTAGGCGGCCATATTTTAATTGAGGATTTTGATGCTTGAAATAAACTCCCAAGACTTATATATATCTACTTATACAAGAGGTACACTAAAGTATGTCTCGCCTGTTCCAACTATCAGAAACGAGCTATTCAACTATGAAAACAAGATCAATGTCTGACTGATACCTTAATCTGTAAACCAAATGTTATCAACTCTAAGGTCTTTTAGTTCTTGAGACATACATGTATATTCCAACATGACACATATTCAAAAATGTTGGTCAAAGTAGAAACAAAAGTCAAGGTGAAATTTCAGGCACCAGACTGACATCCCCTGGTAATGGGATACCTTTATACCAAATATCATTAAACTAGGCCTACTTATTCTTTAAATATTGATTTAATTGTAACATTTGGTTGCATAATTGTCTGTCAATCAACTATGAGAACAAGGTCAAGGTAAAAAAACAGGTGTCAAAATGACATCCCCTAGTAGTAAGGGACCTCCATGCCAAATATCCTCTACCTAGGCCTTCTAGTTCTTAAGATATGGACTCAAGCAGTAAACTCGAATGCAACTTGAAATTGTCAAAGTCAATAAACCATGAAAACAAGGTCAAGGCAAAATTCCACCTGTCAGACTGACATCAACTGGTTGTGGGGGACCTCCATGTCAAATATCATCAACCTAAGCCTTCTAGTTCTTGAGATATGGACTTAAACAGCAAACTTTGTTGCAAAAATGACTAAGTTCTTCAGGGTCATTCAAGCATGAAAAGTAGGTCAAGGATTAATGACACATGACAGACTGACAAGTACTAGTTGTGGGGCATCTGCATGCCAAATATCAAAAGCCTACTCCTTATACTTCATGAGATATGGACTTAAGCAGCAAACTTTGTTGTAATGTTAACGCCGCCGCCGTCGCCGGTAAAACCATACCTATGTCTCGCTTTTGCTGCGCAGGCGAGACAAAAACTAATTTCATCAAAATCAGAGCATTTTTATTTTTCAGATACTATTTTGAATCCAAAATCGCTGTAGTAACTTTTGATACTGGAAATAAACTTGCCACACCTTTATCTACTTGAGTATCAAATTTCATCTACAACAGAGCATTTTAAGATTCTGGAGGCCATTTTGAATCCAAAATGGACACCAACAATTTCAATGTCCAAAATAGACTCGCCAAATTTGTGAGTTGGTGTTGTCTTTGTGCCATTGACCCATAAATGTTCTTCTTCATATTGCATGTATATTCTAAATTTCATCAAAAGTGGAGAATTTTAAGATTTCTGCCGCCATTTTGAATCCAAAATGGCCATCCTATTTCAGATAAATTGCTTCTCCGAACGCAGCTGGATACGACCGTAGAGGTCCAACCCTGAACAGTTGGGGCCAAAATGGACACAATATTCGCGCTTGATACAGGTCTGAATTTGGATTGTAATTAAATATTTGACACATAATAGGTTTCTGACACAGAATAACTGTAGGCAAAGAACTTAGAATTGGTCATATGATTTGAATTTATATTATTTTTTTTTGCTTTTGTGCAATACACTATGCTGTGGCGAATTGACCCCCTCCCCCCCAAAAAAAAAAGACCCCCCCCCCTTTTTTTTGCTTTTGTGCAATACACTATGCTGTTGCGAATTGACACCCCCCCCCAAAAAAAAATTTACTCCCCCCCCCCCCACCTTTTTTTGCAAAAAAAAAATATTTGAAGAAATTTTCTTTAACTTAATTTCTGAAATCTGAAATGAGAAAAAATTGTCCCCCCCGCCCCAATTGTTTTCGCCTCCCCCCCTTTTTCCAAAAAAAAAATTCTTTCCCTCAAGATATGGTCATAATCTCAATTCAAATTTTCCAATGGAGTTTGGAACCATAATTACCCATTTAAATACATCATAAAAGTCTTGAAATAGAAAATGACATACATAATCATGGCTAAAATTAATATTTCTTAATCAGCATTTTTAAATAGTAACTTCTAAAAAAAAATTAACAGCTAATCACCTCAAGACAATACAACATTTCTTTATACATAATTCAAAAGCAGTGTAAGGGAGGCAATCCAAACATAACATTGTACTTTTTTTTAATTGTCCATTAACAAAGGAAACACTTGTTTTTCCCCCTTTTTTGCTCCTAATTCCTAAACGGTTTGAGCCATAACCCCCGAAAGCCAATTCTTACCATCCCTTTGTGGTATGGAAACTTGTGGTATAATTTCAGAGAGATCCATACACTGTTCCACAAGTTATTGTCTGGAAACTAGAAAAATGCTTATTTGGGCCCCTTTTTGGCCCCCTTATTCCCAAACTGTTTAGACTATAACCAACAAAATCAATCCCAACCTTCCTTTTGTGGTTATAAACCTTGTGTTTAAATTTCATAGATTTCTATTTACATTTACAAAAGTTATTGTCCGGAACCAAATGTCTTCGGACGACGCTGACGACGACGACGACGTGATACCAATATTATATGACCGCAAAAAAAATTTGCGGTTGTATAAAAAATGGTAGCAATATAGTTCGCATATTTTCATGCTATCAAGGGTTGGCAATAACCCAGGTTTTATTAATATTTCCAGCCAAAAATGTTGGTCAAAGTAGAAACAAAAGTCAAGGTGAAATTTCAGGCACCAGACTGACATCCCCTGGTAATGGGAGACCTTTATACCAAATATCATAAAACTAGGCCTACTTATTCTTTAAATATTGATTTAATTGTAACATTTGGTTGCATAATTGTCTGTCAATCAACTATGAGAACAAGGTCAAGGTAAAAAAACAGGTGTCAAAATGACATCCCCTAGTAGTAAGGGACCTCCATGCCAAATATCCTCTACCTAGGCCTTCTAGTTCTTAAGATATGGACTCAAGCAGTAAACTCGAATGCAACTTGAAATTGTCAAAGTCAATAAACCATGAAAACAAGGTCAAGGCAAAATTCCACCTGTCAGACTGACAT